TGAGTGCTCTTAGCCTCTCTCTGCCCTCCACCTGTCTCTGCTTTTCAAGCTCTGCCTCCCGCAGACGCTGCTGCTCCGCTTCCCGCAGACGCAGGTTCAGGATCTGACAAAGCAAAGTCAAATATCAGGGGCATTGATCCGAAGGTGGCAATTCAACTGCATTGATTCTGGCATGTCAGAACAGATTATAGTTGATGTCATACTATTCAGGAAGTTTGCAATTATTTTTAAAAGAGGAACAACAAAACTGTCTTTTTTTTTAACATAAAAGCAATGTATATACATTTTTTAAATATATCTCCACTACTTTTAATGAGTTCCTCTGATCACATGTGTATTCGCTCATTTTTTAAAAATGTACCATGTCATACCAAAATTATTTAATTAAACTACAGTGGATTCTGAAATTTAATGTTGCACCAGATAGTTCCGAAATTATTTTAATTAAGTAAAATTGTTGTGAAGTTAAAGATCTACACTCCTACTAAACATAATCTCAGCACTAACGTAATTTTTCGACATCATTAAAAAAAGATCACAAATATCTGTGCTTCTTGGTCCTTAAGAGAGTGAAGATAAAACAGCAAGCAGTTACTTCTAATACTAGAATACATTTAAATGTAATTATTTGACACTTGAGCTGACACTCAATTTGAGTCAAACTTCTGCTGCGTATAATTATGAGCCTTTACTTTGACTTTTTTGATTCTTTTGTTATTTTAGTGCAAATTTCAACTGGATTTTTGGATGCCGAATTTTCACCAGATGAACTTGTATCATTGTAGTTAATATTACATCAAGTTATTTATAGATATGCAATAACTGTACCAATGAAGTATGCTAACAATTACAATACCGAATCTTCCACCATCGTGTCTGTGTCACTGTGCTCCTGTTCAAATGTTAGCAATCTGGAGGCCTATATGTCAGTAATGATCAAAGAAACTTCTCAAAACTTGCCATTGCCTTGTCATAGTTAACAGGTTTGCTATTTTCATCATAGCTCTAGACTGGCTTTGAATTAGAAAAAACAATTAAGGATAAGGGACAAATTATGCTAAAACGAAGAGAATCCTTACTTTCATTCTGTGTCTGTGCTCTTCTTTCAGCTTCTCCTGCCGTCCAAGGCTTTCCTGCGTCCTTTTAAAAACGAGACAACAAAATTTAAGCTATGTAAAAAATACATTGGAAATGACCACACTCCAGAGTGAAGTGAGAAACAGTACAGAGAGCACATACTCCTTTTCCATCATGTCCCTCATGCTTTGATACTCCTGCCTCTGCTTCAGCTCCATGAACTCTTCAAAGCGTTTAAGTTGTTCCAACTCTCGACTGGCTACGGTAGCCACGAGTCGCTCCTGCAACTCTTGCCTCAGGCTTAGTTCTGCCTGTGAGAAGAGAAAGTCACATGATTCAATCAATCATCATCATCATCATCATCAGGTATTGTATAATGTATAATTTAAATGTTTAGTAATTTAACATGCAATGTGGTTTTGTGGTATAGGGGAACGCAGGGCACAAACTAAGACAAGCGCAACATCAATTTTTTACACTGTAAAACAGGTCCACTCGTGTCTTTGGTAATGTTTTTGTATTACCATTGCAACATCATCTGCAGATTTTCACAGCAAAAAGGGGCATTTCCGGAGATTCATCATGAGGTTTGTTTTTGGACAATGAAAGTAACTTTTTTCATTATTAATTTTGTTCGACTACACAGAACCCACAACTACATTACTTCAGTCACCATTTTGGTGGCTGTAATCTAGCACCATTTTGAAGCATACAGCCTAGTCACAGTAACAGCTAGCCAGGCTAAAATAACAGGGTTAGTACTATAACAAAGCCACCCAATAGAAATGCTAAGAGAATTTTTTAATTTTACACAGATTGATCAAAATTGTATTATAGATGTCTTGTAATTTAAATCTACTTCAATTTTATTGTGGTGATATTTGCTGTTCTATGTTGTGGTCAAAAATAAATTTACCAGTGTCTGACACAGCTCCTTTTCATTAATTTATCACTATTTTTTCTAATGTGCGTCTTTATTATGTAGTTTGGTCGGAAAGCTTGTCTGGTTCAATCAACAAAGAACTGTATCTGTCTTTGCATCATTTTTTTGCGACAAACAGAACATCCATCTGTTATAATTCATTTTAATCTGTTACAATTAAGTTTTAATGCTTGGATTTGGCTGTTACCCAAAATGGTACTCAAAACAAAAGTTTATGTTTTCATTTGTAGCAGAGGAGTGTATGTTGCTTATATAAAAAATTACCTCTCTTGCTCAAATGTTTTAAAAATTATTTAGCAAACACTAAAATGTGTTAGGTTGTGTCCTGAAACCCCTAGAGCCAACTTCTATTCTTTGTTGTCTTCAACAGTATTCACCTACAATACAAAGCATATGTAAATATACAAAGGGAATTTTCTCACACACTGGATTTGAAATGACACAATGACTACAAGACAAATGTGCAGAGAACTGATGATGGCCTGCATAGTCTACAAAGCAGTACCAAATGATAAGTATATTATTATTATTATTATTAATATTATTGTTATTATTACTACTATTATTATTATTATTAATATCATTATAATCATCATCGTAATTATTATTATTATTATTATTATTTTCTACCATTTTCAGTTCCTTCTTGGTTTTTAGTGTTCAGCTGACTTGACCTGGGCAATCACTTTTTGGCTCAGAAAAACTTCACAGTGGATTTAACATGTTGTCCACTCTTGCCAAGTTATCCAATTAATTTTTATTTCTTAAAGGTCTTTAACCGATTTATTCTGATTTACAAGTTTAATGACACTTTTCTTCATTGGCATCACCACATCAAACTTGTGCATGCACTAATGATGCAATAAAACATAGGTCGCCAATAAACAACTAAGCTGCAGACTGTCTGATTACTTTTGTCCCACTAAACTGGGATTATTATGTGTAAAATGTAACTGAAACAAGTGTAATTCCTACAACTAATAATTAAGGCTCATATTAAGGCTGACAGTTTGGAATTAAACCTATCGGTCACAGTTTTACTTCAAACACAGTGCATTAGAGTACATAGCCAAAAGAACAAATATCTGTCACTGTCCAGTTATTTACAATCTTACAATCTGTGTATGTAATTTTGTGAAAGTGCTCTACCTTGGCTTTAGCCCGATGTGTTTCTTCACAAATGCAGATGCAGCCCGCCGTCTGAGTGGCCCTGGGTGAAAGGAGGGAGATGGCTGGCGGTGGAGTGCTGCTGGGAGCAGGGCTGAGATCCACCGTGGAGTGTGAATTCTCCAGTTTGTCATCATTTACCTACATAATACAACATAATGATAGAAAATTAAAGAACAACAAATGGAATCAAAATAAACTGAAATAGCTAAAGGACTTTACCCTGTCCTCATTGTCAGTAGTGGCAGGTGGAAGAGAGGTGGACTGGGAGATCGGACTGGTGAGTGTATGGTGTGGACTGATGGGAACTGAACTAGAGATAGGAACATCTTCAGACGTGCCAAGGCTTGTATCACGGATAGGAGAACCCAAAGAGCAGTTTTTGAGCCGATGTCGAGGACTCAGTCTCTTCAGAATAGCCCCCGAGAGAGGTGATAGGCTGGTAACTTCTTTACAGCCAGCAAGAATATCCTGAAGATTGAGGAGAAATATAGTTATTTACAAAAAACTTGTCAAGACAACAGTAATAAGACATTACATCAATTTAATATTGAGGAAACAACAGTATCGTTATGGAGGCCATGTAACTTACATTACTGCATCTAACCCAAGTGCTTCAAAACAAATGCGTGAGATAACTAAGCAACACATCATTCTTTTCTGTGTATGTACCTAGCATACGTGGGCAATGTAACAAAAATAACATAATACATGAAGAGATTTCCACAATAGGTGATGCAGATCACAATATTTTGTTTTTCTGAGGTTTGATAAATAAGAACAGTCACAGTGCATTAGTGGTAGCACATTATAAAAACTGCAATAAAACCTATGAGTATGATTATCTTTATTCAATACTTGCACGATGTTCTCAGTGCTCTAAATTCAACTAATTATGCTTTCTTTTAAATCCTGCATACATTTGTTGGATCACACTTTATTTTGAGAGTCCCCTATAAATTATCTATACATGCTTTCATTGTTACACTATTTGGTAAGGGTTAGGTTAAGGATTAAGTTTAGTCTTGGAGTTGAAGTTAAGGTTAAGTTTTTCTAGATTTACTAGAACCTATTATATTCATTCAGCTTAATGTTCAGTTTAATAGATATTTAGTCGAATGTTAACCTAGTTGAAGGCAAGAGCTACACATCATCAGTGGACTCGCAAGTTGAAGTATTATCCATCAGTGTTCTAGAACGTTTTTCTACGTGCTAAGAAAAGCACGCAATTTGTAAACATAAAATATCGTCATGTTGCCCATCTCGAGCGCCCAGCTCTGAATAAAAGATAAGGTAAGCTTTCTAACACTGCTAGCTAGTTACACATGTGAACATCCATTTCAGTCCACAAACGTTAGGTAGCTAGCTTCCACTTCAAAACTCTGAAAACTACATACAAACTCCGCTTGAAAACTGACCGATAAATTAGCTGAAAAGCTAGGTAACGTTAGCATGTTCAAAAGTGCTGTGAACAAGTGTTAAGTTCAGTTACCTCCCCCTTTTCAACCCAGTCTGGGCTGTATTTGAGTTTTCCCTTTGGAGAGTTTTTCAAAGCCTCTAGTGTCTCCCATCTCAGACTTTCTGTTGCCATTTTAGTGTAACATTAATCACTGAATGATCCCCCCCATAAACCAACACACCGGTTAGCTTTGGAATTTGTCTTTTAGGCACAACAAGGTTTCCGCTTCCTACAAGCTACAAAATAAAAGTCTCTCACAGTAAGTAGAATATATTGCAAAACTGTTAGAATTTTCTCCTTATCGTCAACGTTTACCGACCATGTTTGTTTGATTTTAATTATTTATTTTCTGTATCGTAATCAATGACTAATTAGATAATGGTGAAACATTGATGTAGGCAGTAGGGGGCAGTGTGGATGACTCGTTCTTTTGCAGTCCAAGAACAAGTGAGTGCAATGGCAGGATCAACGTTACCGTGGAGGGTATGTGCGTGATAGTTGTTTTTTGTTTTAATGTAACCAGTGTTTTTTGTGTCTGCTTCTTTAAATATGTGGAAGATATTGCTTGTTACATAAGTTTGTCCCTAACACGGACGAACAACTTTCTAGCTTCAACGTGTCTTTCCTTTTCCATTAGCCTAAAGCTAACTTCAGTTTCTAATGGGCTGTATCGACCGGGCAGATAGAAACACTTGAGTGAAATCAAGAAAGCGTGTAGCGTCACATTTAAGTCGGTCATTTTCTCAAGCACACTGATTCCTAACTACATTAAAATATCGGATAAATAACAAGAATTTTGCCCGATAATTAAAGCAAAAAGTCAACCCTGTTATAGGAGAAGTCCTCAGTCAGGGCTTAAGTTGTCCAGCTCTCTGAGAAATTGTACTTTTGAAACATCTGAAGAACCTGCACTGCGCCGTTTTGTGATTTCCCTGCAGCCCTTTATTCGCTACTTTTTAAGCTGAATCAGGTTTGCTAGAGCAGGAAGAGCACAGGTCTGTGTAGTGCAGGTGGGCTACAGCAGTGATTCTCAAGCGGTCCTCAGGGACCTTCAGACGGTCCACATTTTACTCCAACCCAACTCGCACCACTTATGGTTTGAGCAAAAATGTGGACCATCTAGGGGTCTCAGACGACCGGTTTGAGAACCACTGGGCATCAGGAATGTAGTTGGGAAACACAGTACATTCCAGTTGTCCTAATAGTTCCCTGAATAGTGAACTACACAAGGTATAAAAGGAGAAGAGAGGAACTTTTATTCATCAATAATTGCTAAGTTTTGTTTTAACAATCAACATCCCATTGTTAGTTTCTAGGACAGTGGTCACTAACTCTGGTCCTGGAGACCTACCTTCCTGCAGAGTCTAGTTTCACCCACACTTTCTCCAGCTAATTAACATCTTTGAGTGGCTGGATCAGAATCAGTAGTGTTAGGGCAACATGTTAGATGCAGGTTGGAACTAAATTCTGCAGGAAAGTGGATTTCTAGGAGGAGGGTTGGTGACCTTTGGTCTGCATACTGGAATATACAGACCCTGTGAAATTGAATGCAGAGGATACAGTGTTTTTGTGTGTGAAATACTGTTCTAGCTGGATTATTTCCCGATCCTGCCAGAGGGCACGTATGAGTACCCCTTTGAGCAGTACAATGAGAAATGGGGCACCCTACAGCCTCACAGGAAAAAGCAAATGAGTACACCAGTTTTAGAATCTTTTCTGCAACACACCTTAACTCATTAAGGGTTTCATTGTCAGTTGAAAAGCTGAATCATCTATTGAGCCAGAGAATAGCTGAAACTGTGAAGACCACTGGGTCTGTCCTGTCTCAATTGGCGCTCTTGCAGTCCTCATTTGTGCTTGTGTGCGAGGACCTTGAGGTTGTAAGGTGGATTCAGAAGTGGCAATCTTACCCAAAATTACTTGAGATACAGGCTAGTGGATAGGTTTGTTTAGCCTATTTATTTCATATAATTCATTTGCTGTTGAGAATTCTAAAGAAGTGAAACCTTAGTAGGGTTTAGGCCGAGAAACTTGAACAGTGAATCTCCCTCTCGCTCTCTTGTTCAAAAACACTTTTCTATATGATTTTGACAAAACAAAAGTGAGGAAAAAAAACTTTTTTTTTTTTTTTTCAAATTTCAGCTGTTATGTTTTTATTCAATTTCCCAGGCTGTGCTTTTGCCTGATTAAAAGCAAGGTTTGTAATTGTCCAAGTAAAAAAGCAAGTAACAGCCCTGCTTTGCCTCACAGTTCAATAATAGACAAGCCATACTATTCCCATGTGAGTAGTGATGAATTTGCTTTTATTGCGTAGCCTTTAGTGCTGCAGTGAAAGCTTTTGAATAAATTGGTGCCCTATTAAAACCTACCAAATGTCTATCATGCCTCCTGTTTATAAACTTGGAGTTAATCAGAAGCATTATCACTGGTTCTCTTTCTGAATTTCCGGATGTTTTTGATTTCAGCCGCCTCGGGAGTGTGATGCCTACTGGAGTGAATTCAGACATTGCAAGAGTTTACGGCACCGCTTCCATCACTACTACACTTATGGAATGTCACCTTTGTGTGAGCAGTGGAAAGAAGACTATGATGCATGCAAGGAGTGGGAGAGGACCCAGAGTACACATGCCAAGGTCAGTCTCCACTGGGGAGAATGTCGTGAGACTTGTAGTGCAGATTCTCAAACCTGGTTCTGCATACCCCCTGCCCTGCATATTTTAGTGCTTTCCCTACTCCCAGTGCACCCACTTCGTCATGTAGGGCTTGTTAAGGAGATGATTAGTTGGATCACTTCTGTTGGGAGCAGGGGAAACGCTAAATTGTGCAGGATAGGGGTTACTCCAGGACCAGGGCTGGGAACTACTGCTGTGGTGCAAGGGTCAATGTGTCTGGCTCTAGAAGAAGTGATTTCCTTGCTGGCACACATAATTCCTGACCCATATTGAAGTGCTTCTAACCCACCTGATGTTTTTCTTTGTCATCATATCAGTATTAGAGGTCTGCACAGGCATGAAATTGAAGCTTAAATCTAAACTGTACCCACAAATTGGAGACCTGATCCTTTAACTTAATTTAATTTACTTCGTATTACATTCACTCTTATCAAGAGTGACAGTGTAATCAAGTTTCAGATAAAACCAATCATAGTGTTAATAGTTTTTCATATGCTAACATTCCTATCTGTGCGCGGATTTGAACATCAGTCACTCACATGAAAAACTATGACGTTACTCACGATGCTTTTTAATCTATACATAGTAGATATTTATAACTGTGTTTAAGAATTCCACAGAATCTCATATAGATACCTGTTTTTACAATAATAAAAAAAAAACTTGGTTGGTTGACGTTCAAAATAACCATAGGAGATGCTGTCTTAAAGAGATTATCAGTGTTTTATTGGTGGGATTTCCAGTGCTGTGGTGATGCATGCATTTGTGAACGGTCAGAGTTACTGAGTAAAAATCTCCACAGATGGGCTGTACTGCAACAGCGATCCTTCCACCAACCCAACACATCCCGCTCGTTATCCATGTTGCGAGTGACACTTCATCCAGAGACATGTTCATACTCTTTCTCACTCTCTATAGAGAGAATGCACAAATTGACATATGCACACTCCTTCAAATAAAAAACAAATCTATAAAAAATGTCACTCATAAGACATCAGATCTGAGCCCGACCCAAGCCTGGTGCCTTACACAAGAAAACAGCCCAAACCGGGCCTAAAATAGGGTATTTTATCAGGCCCCGCCTGCTTGGATCAGGTAGCAGACCTCTAATCTGTGTATACTTTTGTCTTTCTTTATTGTTGTTTCTCTCTTGCATATATCCCCTTATCTGGTTCTTCAGGAATGTCTCCAGAAAAGTGAGAGGAATCGAGTGTCCGACCAGAGGAAATTCACTCCAGTTTGGGAGCTGAGACAAAGCCCACCACCGGACTGGCACATGCCTCTTAATCAGGACAGACCACAGGACTCTTGAGGGTACACAGACCATCATTTTATCCATCATATTCATTCAACTTACAAAGACTGCCTTACTTTCCCAGAACTACTCAGTCCACAAATACCCAATGGCTATGGCTGAAATGGATCCCTATTTGTGTTTCAGGGCAATATTGACAACATTTGAGTACCTTTTTCTCTTAGAGACCAATTTGTAATTTAAGGGCACTACGATGTCCCACAGTGCACTTACAATTTACCCACAGGTACTGCTGAGCCAAAGAAAATTGAACTTGCCAGACTCTCATGGCTCTCTGCTAACTACAGGTTACTGTAGTCATGGATCAATAGTGAAATGTCTCTTTTTACTTTTCCCTCATTCCCTGCACTTTTCAGAAACATTACACCCCTGTCCAAGAATAAGCTTCAGCCGTGCAAGCAACTAATGTTTGTTTGTTTATGCGACTGGTAAGTAGTGACGCAGGCTGATGATGAGCAAGAATATGAATTTATTCATGCATAGATAAATAGTTCTTCCCTGTATAGTGTGGTACTAACAAGTGAGTAGGGATCCATTTCAGTCAGTGTCTAGATTTTGTGTCCAGTATGACTGTTTTTGTGAACATTCTTCAATGTGTATCAGCACTCGTACTCTACAAATTGTAAAACTCTGAAGATCTTTACAAATACAGCCACACAGGTGCTCTCTGGGAAGAAGACATAAGGTCAAGAAGAAAAACAGGTTTTTTATTATTATTTTTAATTTACTTTTGCCAACTGTTTCAGTGCCACTGCTGAAGGGTTGTTTATGGTACTGTTACTTTGAAAATCTTTAGATTATGTCTATGCATGCACGTTTTTACATCTTCAACAGGTGTTTGGCCTTTCATGTTTCATGTCTTGATGTAAAGACCGTACTGAAAATATCCATATCAATAAAATGCAATTATAAGTCCTGTTATGAGTAACAAAGTTTATCAAAGAACTTGTTATGTGTTTCTGTTGTGTAAAGACTTATTCATGTTTTGTGTGGTCAGTGATGGAATGTGCTAGTTTAAAAGTAGACAGTGAGTTATTATAATGTACTGTATGAATGTAATAAATGAGACATTCATCGACTGTTTTGTTTTTATTTACAAAAATCTAGTGTGAATTTCGGTTCAGTGTTGGGACACAGTCATGTACTCCATGTTTTTTGATTAATTCTTGAGGCTTTGGTGTGAGAAATACTGAGTCGTTTAGCTTTCATCGCAATGGGGGAAAATCTAATTGACAGCTTTTAGATTCTGATACAACCAAATAGTATTTCTGTACGCCTGATATACAATGATTAATATTTCATTATGAAAACCCTATATTGCAAAAACAGTACATTTGTTGGTGAAGTCCAAAAACCATTGTTAACTTAAATGTATGATGATGCAACAAGATTTTATTCTAAGTTGTTGTGGACCATCTCTATTGGTACATTTAAAGGTTCACACAATTTAAAGGGCAGCTGGGTGATTTCAATTTTTTTTAAGAAATAAAGTAGGGAGGCACAGTGATGTTGTAATCATACTGGTATTGGTTGCTTAAAGGAAAAGTATCATCAGACAAATGTTTCCATTTCAAACTGATCTGTGATATTTATAGTACTCCAGAAGTGCAGAATGGTTATGTGATGCTGGCCTACAGTGCAAAAATGTCTCCAATTTATTTAGTTTACTGCATTTGTAACCCTACAGAATGAAATGTTATTTTTTCTTTAACCCAAGTGGATGTTTTCCCCATTTTCTACATTTTATTAATGTTTATGAATGAACACGCACAGATATTACAATAAAAAAATATCGACATCTGTCCACAATTCCCGTATCGGTATCCCTTAACCCCCCAAAAACATTATGTTATAAGGATTGTTTTGTGTGACAGTGACAGTTTTCATTTGGCTGAGCATAATTCATCAGATTAAGAATCTCCCTTTACACCGTCTCTACAGAAGTTAAATTAACACTGTCGGGAACCTCATAGGTGAGCAGCAGCACTACTGCTCCATGTCAGGATCATCTATCAAGATGACTCCAACAATTTCAAAGCACTGGATACGCTGTGGTAACTAGATGCACAGTTCCATCACACGTTTCATGTGTAATTGCAGCAGTCTCTGGACTCCATCACTGCGTGTACACTCGTGTAATGTCATTGTATTTGCCATCAGGGGCCTCGTGGTTTGGAATGGGTGGTGTATAACAGGGACCTTGGCGCTGGAAGGGGAAGAGGCTATCATCAGGGCTGAGTGCTGCTTTGTAGAGCTCCTCTGATTCCAGTTTCAGCTCCTCCAATGCTTGTGTCTGAGCCTTTAGGGCCTCTTCAATTGCTGCCTTCTCAGCCTGGTGCTGGGAGTGTTTGTATCTGGACCATTCCTTAAGCAACAGTGCCCTCCTCTCACTCTCCTCAAAGGACAGCTTAGGAGCACTACGGACTCTGCAAAACAGATTACCAAAATTGCTTGATATGATAAAGAGGTCAGCACAGATGTTCAAATGTTCAATTTCATTCAAGAGTACCACTACAAAGATACATTATATGTTTAAAAGTTTGTAGACACCTGCTCAATCAGTGTTTCTCCCGAAATCAAAGGTATTAATAAAGAGTTTCTTCACCATTCGCTGCAGTACCAGCCTCTACCCTTCTGGGAAAGCTTTACATGAGATGTTGGGACATTGCTGCTGAAGTGTGACTCATTCTATTGGCAATATTTTTCTATAGAGATTATACAAGCTGTGTGTTGCAACTGAATGCCTGTGTCAGCAATGAGTGCCCTTTAAGTAGCTGAATACACTCAATAGAATTGGTGTTTGGATACTTTTGGAAAATTCACATTTGGCCCATCTTTGAGTAAACGTGTGTATATTGGATCTACCTGGTCTCATCAAAGCACTTGGCTGGGGTTATGAAGTCTTCAATAGGGATGAGCTCAGGTGGGATTTTCTCCAGCTTCTTCAACTTTTTCTTCAGTCGTTCTTTCGCTATAAGCTCCCGGCGAGGGTCAACCTTCTTCTTTTTCTTTGGCTCTGCTCTGTTTGGGACAAAAGTGATCACAAATCGAGATGGATGTCGATACCGCATCCAATGACACAAAAACCTCTGCATAAAAAAAAAAGTCTGCATAACTAAATCAGTGAGATGTAAACAAAGCCATTTAGATTAGTCTGATGTGAAATGGTTCATTATAGATAAATTTACAGCCTTCCCTACAGTGCTGGTGATAAGAACTGGCCATTTTGTTTACTATTCAAAATGACCAGTGGGCCCACATGTGTCTTCTGAGTTTTTATATGTAATGCTTATAATGATAAAATATTGTAAAATCTAAAAATAAGCTTTCTGGGGACTACAGTGCCTCACAACGCCCTGCATGTACGCCTCCACCACACACACAAAAATATGTTTTATGCCTAAACATTATCTCAAAACTTTTTATAAAAAAACATATAACATTCATTACAACTTAAATAGGTAAACACTTTAGATGTCTGGTTCCCATTAACACCACTGCGAATACTTATGACTTTATAAGTTTCTCTAGAACATAACATCTCGCATTAAACCAATCTGAATGACTGTGTACATCTTAACAATTTAATTACAGAGAAATCTGAAAAATCGCTGGAATTCCCCTTTAACTGACCTTAACGGCACTGATGTCTTTAGTGAAAGCACTGATGCAAACCAGTGACTGTGTCTGACGCAGCTAACGCTACCGACAGCAGACCTGCAGCTGGAAAAGAGATGGAGAAAATATGTAGTTAAACAAAATTATCAGCATCCTAAAAAACCACAAAAATGACATTATTCGCTAACCTAGCTATGCCAAGTTAGTTCTACAAGCTACACTGGTTAGCGGACGTGCTAACTGGGTAATTCTTCGTCGAATAAACATAAACAAGACAAATTTTCATACCCAAAAGTTAAAGTCGGTCCTGATATCAGCTGCATTGCGCTGCGATATAAAACCCCCGACATTTTTAATTTTATAAACGAAGGGACAGTCAATAAAGCGGGCAGTAGATAAGTATGCTACCGCATTAGCCACCTTGGCTGCCAGCATGCATGTGCAGTGAATGACAAGGGCATATACAGTATTTTTCTAACAGACGCAGTTTCCATATTTCGTTTTTTTCGACAGCAAGTTTCGTTCAGTGTACGTATGTAATACTATTAATTTATTTGAATTAATTTAGCTTAAAGAACACAATTCTTTCGCAACTGTTTAAGAAAAAAATATATGACGAATGTTACGTCCTACATAAACAATGCGTTGTTCTTTGTAGGTGAAAGGTTACAATTTTATGTGACTGGCGCTCACAAGTGACAGGCTCTCTTGACTGGTGGCCAGAGGATCCTGACCTTCGTGCATTTATCATAAAAATCACCGTTATGTCGCTCTTAAGAGGTAAAAAACGTTGGTCTTGTCATATATTAACAAGACGTTCAATCTGCTTTTAGACGCAGCGTTCACGTCTACCTGTTTGCCTTGTAGTTGTGCTATTAATGTTAGCTAGCAATCCTTTTTTGTTGCTGTATAAGATTATTGCGGTTAGCTGGCTGTAAGATTTCTACGTATGTTAATGAAGTCTTTGTTTCAGAGTTGTACAAAAGTGGGCAGTTGTTTATTTCAGTATAGTTATAACAGTTGCTGTTGCAGTGTTTGCACTAACGTTGTTTAATCTTGTAGCTAGATGGCATAGTGTTCAACAGGAATGGGTAGGGGGAAAGTAGAGGAAAGGTGACCAGAAATGAAGGTCTGTGATGCTGTGTCTGTGGAGCTCACTCAGTGGGTCAATTCCTCACTTACCTATGGGGCAGTTGTCAAATCCTGTCCCGCGGTATATCCTAGAACAGTGATTTTCTGTTCCATTCCTGGGGACACACTGCTAGGTATTCTTTGCCCTCAACAAAATGATTCAGTTCATAAAGAGTTTAATAATTACCTGATAAGCTGGATCAGGTGTGTTGGGACTGGCAATTACTGAAAGTGTGCAGTGCTGTGGGTCACCAGGACCAGGACTGATGGTGGCAACCACTGGCCTAGACTTCGCACTTTAATGTTTTTCATTGTCTGCAATGCCTGATTTAACTCAGCAGTTGTCCAGTACTGACCTCTGCTCCACAGAAACGGCTCAGATAACCATATTTTAATTCTGTTCGAAAAGCATTTTAGGACAAATCACTGATGCTTTCCAAATATTTATGCCCATGTATCATCCATTCTCCCACATTTTTTTGTGTAGGTGTGTTCATTGTTTCAGCTAAGAGGACTCCCTTTGGCACATACGGCGGTGTTCTGAAAGACCACAGTGCCACAGATTTGGCTGAGCATGCTGCCAAAGCTGCACTTGCTGCTGGGAATGTTGCTCCAGAGCTAGTTAATAGTGTCATCGTAGGAAATGTCATGCAGGTTAGTGTCTACTTTGAACAGCCAATACCAGAGTAAGCATCCCACATATCTTCCTGCATTATTCTCATGATTCATAATGGAACCCAATGTAAGAGCCTTTACAAGTGCAATGTTGAACTCATGGAAGGTAGTTATGCTCATGTATAGTTAAATATGTATGGTCTTGCTCTTTCTTCTGCAGAGCTCTGCAGATGCTGCCTATATTGCACGTCATGTGGGCCTGAGGTGTGGAGTGCCGATACCAGTACCTGCGTTGACTGTGAACCGTCTCTGTGGGTCAGGCTTCCAGTCCATCATCAACGGAGCTCATGTAAGAGTACACCTAAAATGATCAGACCATCACACCAAAGCTTTGTAAGCAGATCAGAAAGTGCAAGTTTTCTTTAACTGATATCATTGTGTTATGCTGTAGTGATGCAGAACTCCAAGACTGGAGTGCAATTATCTGCCTGTTTGTGATGGTGATATGTTTCTGTTGGGGTTCTGCTGAATGTGCTTGTGTGTTTTATGTAGGAGATCTGTCTCAAAGAATCAGAGGTCGTACTTTGTGGAGGGACAGAGAGTATGAGCCAGGCCCCTTATGCTGTACGCAACATCCGCTTCGGTACCAAGTTTGGAGTTGATTTAAAGGTATGCTTACAAGCACCTCACATACAAAACATGGAACACTGTTATAACAAAACTTTGTAACTTTGAAATAGTCATTTTTAGAAGAAGGAAAACAACACTTTTGACTTTTAAAGGGGCATTCAGTTAACTGTCATGTAATGCAATAATCTGTAGTGTAGCATTGCATCCCTCTGTCTAATTGGTTTTACAGAATTCAGTTTTGTACCCTTTTGTGTTTTCATCCATCATTGATCTCTCACTACAATACCCAGCATGCCTTATGCACATACATTATGCAACCACTGGGGAAGAAAAGAGTCTTAACTGTTATTTATGTGTATGCACTAGCTTGAGGACACTCTGTGGGCAGGACTCAGTGACCTACACATAAAGACACCTATGGGCGTCACAGCCGAAAACCTGGCTGAAAAGTACCAGATCACACGAGAGGATTGTGACAAGTACGCCTACCAGACACAGCAGAGATGGAAAGCAGGTCAGTTTACTCTACTAATACTGGTGCACCAGCCTAACAACCTCTTTCATTCTGGGTCATTCTGAAACAATTTAGCTTTCTTCCTGCAGCTCATGAGGCTGGCTGCTACAATGCTGAAATTGCGCCTATCGAAGTAAAGGCCAAGAAAGGCAAGGTGGCTATGACGTTTGATGAACACCCTCGTCCACAAACTACACTGGAACAGATGGCCAAGCTGCCACCCGTCTTTAAGAAAGGAGGCACGGTCACTGCTGCCAATGCTTCGGTGGGTACCACAGTGCCCTGCCTATAATAAACACATTTCACTATTTATTGTTTACATACCTCATGATTACTAGCTATGACAGAGTGAAAGAGACAGTGATTTTAAAGGTCAGTTTCCCAGGCCCTGTTTAACCTAAAATGGTAAAAACACTATTAGCATTGCTGTTTAGTCCAAGATTAGGCCTAATCTATGGCCATAAAACCAGCCTAAGATGTTTTTAATCAGACTTAATTTCAGAGGAAATTATATATAAAGGTTTATAGTGGACAAAAAATAGCACAATTTTTCAATGAGTTTCCATGTAATGACCATTATGCATAAGTACCACCTCCATTATTTAATGTTGCTAATATTCAGGCTTGAATCACAAGCTACCTAGTATTGTCTGAAGCACTAAATATTCAGTAGCACAATGGAAAATTGAGAAGCATAAAAAGCAGTACATTTTAAAATGTTGTATTATTAAAAAAATATTTGGCTTTAAAGCATCTTCATTGTTTGACAACTGAAAAGCAAATGTTTACAAAAAGATTCTGGATGTACAAATATATGCACTAATCAAAACAGGGAAATATTTTACCTAACTGGTGTTAAAGCGGTTAGTTTGATGTCTAACCCCGTGTTCACACTGGCAGTGATTACTTGTTGGCCAAATTGGTGGCCGCTCATCGCCTCTGTGCATTTCTGAACTGAGTTGGTTGCCCTGGTTTCACTGATGCCAATCAAATGCCATGACAGCATGCTATACGTAACCAGCTAGTGGCTACAGAGTGTGTACAAAATCAGTTTAACCGCAAATCGGATACCTTCCCAAGCAGTTCTTGCCACAAATCAGAGCATTTATGCTAAAAATTAAAATCATGGAGAGAAATCAACTGTCTATAAATGTAATCCCGGTGTAGGGTATCACTGTCTGTGCAGTCAGTATGTATTAATGTTTACCTTTTCACAGAGTGGTTTAATCACAAGTGTGAGGTCTATAGTCTTGTTTAACCTGAATGATTTATCAGCTAAATTAAGAAAAGCTAGCTAACTGATCTTAACGTTATTCTGTTATGTTATTTATTGTTGGACATGATATTGAAATGGGTGTTTGTAAATACAGTAGTATAGATAAGGTTTAACTTGCCTAACTTAACATAAGTCTGCCTGTCTTAGTTTTGACATTGAACTGCAGGTGTGGTCTTCCATAGTTTAATCCGGAACCTCTTTAGCTTCAGTAAATAAATAAAAAACAACTTATGTTAGCCTTATAATTCAGATTAATTTACTCCATCATCATTCTCTCTGCAAAGTGTGTTCTGAGGAGATTTGTCAAAGTTTTTTCCCTCGGCTTGACGGTGGAAGTAGCAGTTGAAATGTACATAATCATCACTATCATTTCATTTAATTCTCATTTCTTAAAGCCATCTATATCAGAGTTAGCTGTGTTTTTCAAACATTAAAGTTCATAACATTAACATTTTATGTCCTTCTCATGAGTGTAAAGTGTAAATATTGGTCCAGTTTTGGTTTCTGTGTAGTCATTGCTGCACAGTTGGGCCTGCATCTATTCTCTCTGTATAACTCAGTTTGTTTCCAGTTAATTTCTCACTTCTGTTTACCAAATGTGTCTCCCACAGGGTGTGTCAGATGGTGCTGCAGCTGTGGTGATAGCCAGTGAGGAAGCTGTTAAGGAGCACAAACTCACCCCATTGGCTAGACTTGTTGCCTATCACATCTCAGGCTGTGATCCAAGTATAATGGGCATTGGTGAGTTATGCATCAATCTGTCCACACATTTACAGCTGTGGAAAAATGTTTGTCTTCTCGCTCTAAAAACCATTTCATGTCTCCTCGCTGCAGGTCCTGTGCCTGCTATAACAGAAGCTCTGAAGAAGGCAGGACTCACACTGAAAGACATGGATCTAGTAGAGGTATGTGCATCACTAGATGTTACCACTTATACAGTCGTTGTTTCATCCAGCAAATGAAAAACAGTGAACACATTTTAGATATTTATGCTATGGTCTCATTTTGTCTTCAGGTGAATGAAGCATTCGCTCCCCAGTATTTGGCAGTTGCTAAGGCTTTAGGACTAGACCCAGAGAAGACTAACGTAAATGGCGGAGCCATTGCACTTGGCCATCCACTAGGAGCCTCTGGAGGCAGAATCACTGCGCACTTAGTGCACGAGCTCAGGTAAACACCCACACTCTGTATGTAACAGATGTGTTGTGCTGTAGTTGGGTGCTTTTAAATGATCTTCTGCATTTGTTTTCTTAATTGTTGTAATGTTTTTTCTGTTTATAGACGGCGAGGGGGCAAGTATGCAGTGGGCTCAGCCTGTATTGGTGGTGGGCAGGGCATTGCCGTAATCCTGGAAAACACTCAGTGAGCAGAAAGAGGAACACAACAGACAAAAAAGTCACCACAATTCAAGAACACCCCTCAGAGCCTTTAACAACCTATTTTGGCCAAGCTATTCTAATAAAATGAAAAATAGATTTCAAACACACATACATACTTAAACAAACAGTCAAAACAGAGAAATTGATCTTTGAAAAATGCCTCAGGGATCAGGAAGCTACAGTCAGGAAATTAAAAAACCTTTTTTGCATAGAAACCATTTTATGCCATGTAGTCAGAGTGTTACTCATACAGAGTTTTGCTTTAAAAACAGTTTGGCATCCTCACTTGTGATGGTAAGGACTATTCTCCAGCAGACTTAGATTGTATTTTCTGTTACTTCATTCAGCTGAGTGTGAGACCGCAGAAGAACCCTGGTGGAAAGTGTTGGAGTGTATTGAATGTGGTGAATAAAGTGCCTGCCATTTTCTTACTTTGTGAAGGAAGATCACTCTATTGTTAGGCATGTGTTGTAATAAATGTTCTGACTGGGAATGTTTGAAACCTGTTGGTAGTTGTGGAGTCATCTTATCAAAGATTGTTAGACCTGTGTACACTGCATATCACTTTAAGCAACTAAACCACTGCTTAATAATATATAATGGAAAAAACTATCAAAATAAACTTATTAAATAACTAATTCATTCATATTCCACTGTATTTCTCTATAAATAATATGTTTCTGTTCAAATTTGTATTAAGCACACTGCCTTTGTAATTAAATGGAGGAGATTGATTAAGTGAGTTGTCATTTCTGTGTAGTGCATTTGAAGAATTTGTTTGGACTGTTGACCAGCTTTTTTTTAAACACTGCTTAACAATTTTAAGTCAATTTACCACTTGCAAAATAATGATAGATGCAACTATCGACTAGTCACTGTTTAACAACAGTTTCTAAGCACTGATTTTTCCCTAAAGCAAAAAAAAAGCCTCTGAGCAAACCAGCAGTGAGAACTGAATTATTAACCTAAGAGATGCTGAAAAGGTGTTAAACAAAATGTGCATTTTTGTATTGAATAAAAGTAGAATTGCTGTTTATAATTTTGTGTGTGGACTGAGGTAGTTACTAATGCTAGCCTCATTGTGTTTATTAGCGTCAGTCATCAATGGTTGACACCACAGAGATTCTGATGTTTGCATGATGCATTTGCATTATGCATGCTGGGTATTGTAGTGAGAAAACACTGATAAACAAAACCATGAGGCTGAGGGATACTGCACTACAGAAAATCTGGGTTGTAAACTGTCATATGTGCATATTTTTTCAGTTCTCAGATATGTGTGTCTGCATTTTTTTAAATCTAAATCATATTAGAATAACAAAATATTTATAATTGTGCTCTCACTGTGCTTCTAAATCTTTTTGCTACTGAACTAAACTCTACTCTAAACTCTGAACTCTAAAAATGCATGCTCATGCATTTTTCCCCTATATGAGTAGGTACATCCTCTTCAGAGAACACACTTTTAGGCACATTTTAAGTTTGCTGAATTTAACATACTGGAGGGGAAATAAAACATAAAATGTCCTGTGCAAAAGTTATGGTACATTTAATGTTTTCCTTTTTCCCGTGTGTTAAACAGAAAAGCACAGAAAATGGCATGTTTAACTTTATTTCCTGTAGACGATGTATACTTATTTTCAAAAGACATGCTACTTGACCGGGGGTGTTCAAACTTTCTTATACGACTTTGCGTTTGATCGACGCAGTCCTGGTTATAAAACCCGCGTGTCAGTGTTGGGCGGTAGGTGGTAGTCTGACGGTCGTTTATGGCGCACGAGCCTTCAGAATGCAGCCGAAGAAAAAGGAGCGTAACACGTCACGACTATAAATACGTCAAATGCCCGGATGTCGGTCTTTTTTTCTAGCTAAAGGTAATTGTGCCTTCCATGTCGATGTTCTCGAAATGTAATCTGGTATCATCTGTATAAACGAGACAGTATATAAACTCCAGAGCGTGTCTCAGTGTATTGTGGTACTATTAACACTATTATCTGTGACCATTTTGCTTCTTAAGTGTGTTTTTGTTGCTCTTATTCTGCCTTCTGAAGCTGGGCCCGAAGCCCGGGTTGACCGCTGTACGATTGTAGACCTTTCTGCTAGCAGCACGTTTTCCTTCATGTTAAAACCCCGGGATTAATTAGGACGCTGGATGTTGCTTGTGCGACCGGAAAGTTCATATTATAGTATTGTTAAATTGCGTTGAGTTGTTAGACGTTACTGTAATGCAATAGGGTGTAGTAAGTGCCGGGAGTGTTGTGGCTAGTGAGTTAGCGCTGCTGAAGTAAGTCACGTTTGTTAGCCGGAGAGTTAAAACTGCACATATTTTTTATTGTATTCGCGTATAATTTCCCTCAAAGAAGGGAATGTTGTTGAATTTGCCTGTTGGTTATTTCGGTCCTTTTTCCTGTCATTCATCTTAAAATTGGGTTAGCGTTTCTCTGTTATAGCTAACTAGCGTGGTAGCTTTGCTGTTTTTTGGAACCAAGTCAGTAATACGACGTGGGTCAGGTCAACAGTTCTGAGCTTGTTGGTGCACCATGGTGTTATTTAGCTGATGTAGCTAGTGTTTCAGATGACGTTCGACGCTTAGCCTCAGCTCTTAAGTATAGCGTCTTATTTTGACATGTAGTGGTTATCCGTCCCAGAAAAGGAAGACTGCTGTACATTCTGGGTTTGCTTGGTATAGTCTTACCTGGCTGTATTGGAAGATTGATCTGAAAATGACGGATCCATAAACTTGTATTTCAGATGGCTGAAGGGGATAAAAAGAAGGTTGCCCGCAAGCGGCACTGCAGCCGCAACCCTGTCTTGGCCAGGGGTATCGGCCGCTTCTCCCGCTCTGCTATGTTTGCCCGGCGGGCCATGTACAAGAGGAAGACCAAGGCACCTGAAACTAAGGTGAGTATATGTCATGAGAGGTTGCACAGACCAGACACAGTGCTTCTGTCACTATGATCTTCAAGATGCGAGGTCTCGTTGAATGTACTGTGAATGAGTAAGTTCTGTGAATGGAATTGGAGTGTCATTTATATTAAACTGTTAGTCAGATTAATACATGTCAAAATAATTTGCTTTCTAGGTTGAGAAGAAGCAAAAGGTGAAGACCCCTACCACAGTTGTCAAAACTGTTGGCGGAGACAAGAATGGAGGCACTCGTGTTGTCAAACTACGCAAAATGGTAAGATTTTTATATTATTTTTGTGCCTTTGTATTACTGTTATGCATTTCTCTCTTTACTGAATGATGCCTTTCATTACCTCTGAAATCGCATTCTTTCAAATGTAATGCTAAAATGGTTTGTCTTCTGTTTTACCCTATGTTGATCCCTTTGTCCTATTTTTCCAGCCCCGTTACTACCCCACAGAGGATGTTGCGCGTAAGCTGCGGAGTCATGGGATCAAGCCCTTCAGCCAGCACAGGAGGAAGCTGCGTTCCTCCATCACCCCTGGAACTGTACTTATCATGCTCACTGGGCGCCACCGTGGCAAGGTACACAATGTCACACGTATTAGTGTTGCTTTGAGTGCACTTTGTTCACTTAACTTTTTATGTAGCTTTTGAATGAATTTGTACAACCATGTACCATGCTGCTCATGCAATGTATGTTGAAATTTGGCACAAATTGATATTTATAAGCAGTGTACTGAAATGCACTTCTAAAATGTCAAAAAGAACTGAAATTTGTTTCCCACAGTCCCTTGAATGTAGGCATCTGAATTTATGATCTTTAAGAAATCACACGAGTCAGCTTTCACGAGGCAGTTCAGTTTTTATTTCCCTGGAGAGAAAGGTTACCTCTTATTACATGGGTCCATAACTAATTTGCTGGGGAAATGGCGAAACAGAACTGTTGCACGGTCACTGTACTGACATACTTAAAGTATAGCACATTAATTCCCCTGTATGGCACTTAGCCCTTTTATTAGATTTTACAATGTCACTTGGTCACTGGTTGCCACGGTTCCAGTTTAATACTCCTACACTAAAACTCTCTTGTACTCTTGACCACCCTTATTCCTTGTCCTGTGCAAAAAGGTTTGCCCTTGTCCTGAATTGCACATGAATGGAGAACAGTTTCAAGTATAAAGCTGTAGGATTGCCCATTTGGTCACGCAGTAAGCGTCTGTGCTGTTGTCTAGTAAGACAAACCTAAAGCTTTTTCTTTTCTTATTACAGCGTGTGGTCTTCCTCAAGCAGCTGGCCAGTGGTCTCCTCCTTGTCACTGGTATGTCTTATGTTTGCATTTTAAGGTGTTACATTTTAATGTTGCTTGGTAAAAACACAACTTCTATTGAGATGCTTGACAGTGTGCATGGGTGTACCTGGCTTAGTGTTTTTAGAATTAGGGTCCTAAACACCGAAGGTATATATACTGGTGAAATTAATGTGACTTCCTGCTTTTTCTGTAGGTCCCCTGGCAATCAACAGAGTTCCCCTGCGCAGAGCTCATCAGAAGTTCTGCATCGCCACATCCACCAAGGTGGACATTTCCAGTGTCAAGATCCCCAAGACCCTGACTGATGCTTATTTCAAGAAGAAGAAGCTCAGGAAACCCAAACACCAGGAGGGAGAGATCTTTGACACAGAGAAAGAGGTGACCGCTTCATTTTCATAAACGTTCTGCATAGGATGCTGAACAACAAGTAAAATATGTGGCTGTGGAGAAGATGCCCGTTCCTATTGGAGCATGATTGATTTACTGAAAAAGTGATTGAAGAAATGAATTTCAAAGGCATGTCAAACTCTTGTATTCAAAGTTTCAGGGAGTTATTACATGGGTATGTGAATTCTCAAATTGGAACATGTAATATGAATGATTATGATTTTTTTTTCTCTCTTGATATGCCTGGGGCCCATCCAGTTGCTAAAGTGAGTTGTTTCAGTTTCCCACATCTTCTGAAATTTAACTGTTTTTTGCATCTTCATTGTAGAAGTACCAGCTGACAGAGCAGCGTAAGGAAGACCAGAAAGCAGTGGATTCACAGCTGTTGCCCCTCATTAAGAAGGTTCCTCAGCTGAAGGGATACCTGCGCTCCCAGTTCTTCCTGTCCAATGGAGTGTACCCTCACAAACTGGTTTTCTAAAAAAATTAATAAACGGTGGCTCCAACCCATTAACCCAAGCTGTGTGTTGTGCCAAGGCTTTATTGTTTATTTAAAATAAAAAAAAGCCATCTTCAGTTGTGTTAGCATGATGACTTGTTGGGATAATTCATGAGTGGAATAATTTGGAATAATCTTTGAGATTTAGGAAGTTTGGTTTTAACCATAACCTAGTATCCAACAACTGTGCCTTTAAGTGTTTAAGAGCTAAATCTGCAGGGAGGTAGATCTTCCTGTAAACCGCGTATTGCAGGCGAGAGAGCATAACAGTGGACAGTGTTAACACCACTTGGCTAAATATGGAGGATTATGTTGTGAAAAACAACTCAGGATTGGAAAATCTCATTGTTAAACTAGAGCTGCAGTACTGGTGGATACATGCTTCAAGTAGTCTGTATTGGACAGATTTGACTTTCATATGGATATTAGGCAGATTGTAGTATAGAAGAATATGTTTGTGTCTTTGGGCTATTTACTGTGCTGTAATGTCAGTATTTTATTCTTTTTACTACATTCACAACACTACAAAAATCCTATAGTAGTCAATAGGACTAATCCCAGTAGCAGTAATACTTTTCCATTCTATTCATGACATGATATTTGTATTAAGATAGAACACCTAATCACACTTCAGAATCACAATCTTTAGGGGAATGGCTTGGCTTAGTTGCACAACCAAACATTTGCACATAGTGTACAATAATTGGTACTTATTCCATGTGCCTCCCCTCTGGAGTTCCTTGCAGCTTGCACAATATTAGATTCTGGATTCAGACACTAGGAAACATCAAATGGTTTAATGTGAAATTGGTTACTGTAGAGAAATTCAGTGACTCATTTATGATCCAAAATTACCAGTGATGCTACATGTATTCTGAATTTTCATATGTGATGATAATGGTAAAAGTGGTAAAGCTGGAAAACATTCCCTACATGTACGTCACTGACCTGTCATTTAAACAATGTTTTGGCCATCAGGCAACATCATAACCACTTCATGCAGTAGCTTTCTGTGCAGCAGCTCGTAGAATAGAATTCTGATGTCTAGTTCCTGTCACCACTGCTATGAACAGTTCTGGTTTGGCAAGTTTCTGAACAGAACATATTGCATGAATTCACTAAATGACTTTGTTTACATCATAATGCCTGAGTTATTAAGATTTAGTAAATTTAATGGGTGCCAAATTCTGTCACTACTATCCTGCAGAGTTCAGATTCAACACACCTTCCTCTAAGTTACAGATGTTCCTAAAGGTCTTCATTCCCTGGATCAGGTGTGTTTGAGTAGGGCTGGAGCAAAGTTGTGCAGGGTGGTAGCTTACCAGGACCAGGATTGGGCACCCCTGCTCTTGAAGGTCTGAACCATATTTACTAACCTCTCCTAGCAGTGATTTGTGAAGAAGTACCGAAGTCCGTCTCTTAACATTTTGCCCAGTTACCCAGCTTTGTGCAAGTATAAAAATAATCGTAAAGACAATACACATTCCTGACAAAGCATTCCATGATGACTTGAACCAAATCAAACAACAGCAAATGGTGAAGCCACATTAATGTTTATTTAAGAGACACACTAGAGGTCTATGTAGAACAGTAAGGCCAACATACTCATACCAACAGTAATATAACCAACCCTGAGTGTGTGTCTCTATTGAAGCCTTCCACCTTCCAATCATTTACCAATTCATCTTGAATTTCTCAAGATCTTGGTTCACAGGTAGCATTTTCAGGTTTAAAGCACCCCCTCTTAGTGTCCAAACAAATCCTTGCATCCACCCACAGAGCAAAACCAATTTGCTTTAATTAAAAAAATTAAAAGTGACATAAAATGTTCAACCTGTGTTTATAGAAACAAAAATAAATACACGTTTTTTACTCATCTTTTCCCCCCTTACACAACCATTTTCTTAAAACAAGGAACAAAAGGAGAAGCAGCCAAAAGAAGGCTAGTCCCAGAACAGGAATGATCAGCCTTTCTGTACAGTCAGTATTTAATGGTTAGCTGATGGTGATGCTCAGCCAGACTTGAAGAGCAGAATTGCCACCTGGCCCAGGTAGAAGTAGATGAAGTGCTTGGTCTCATGGGTTACATAGCTGCCGAAATTCCTGCCCACTATGCAGTGCCAGGTGGGGTTGTACTTTTTGTCAAACTCCTTGTGGGAGAGAGAAAGAGAAATAGGTTTAACAAGCAGTCTACTTGAGTCTCGGTAGAGCTTTTAAGTTCTCACTGACAACACAAAGCATTTTGGATCATACGACGTCAAGTCTATTTTCTGCCACCATTCAAGTACACAGATGGTTGCATTCCAAGCTGTTCTACCTGGATGTCGGGCAGCCTTGGTTACTCTGAAGGCTTACCTTTTTGATGTAGGCAGCAATATCCTTCTCGATGTTGTACTTCTCCAGAGCCTGGGTGGCACATTCAACAGCGTCCTGCTGCATCTCCTCGGACATGTCCGCATTTTTAATCACTGCCTTCCTGTCAGACATGGCTGCTCTGCAACAATGAAAATATATATTTCTTTAGATTTACAAGGTATTTTCTGCTGGAGAAGGTTACCCCCAAACGCCCCCCATTGCTCTTTTTTGGCTCATGGGAGTCATTTTGGGACATGGAGAACACACTTTTAGGTACCTCAGCTCCTCCTACCTCAGCTTTTCGGAATGGCCGTGAAATGGCTTGCTGCTCGCATTCACACTACAGAGAATGCGATTACTGGAGCATCTTCTGTCACCGTGTGCGCTCCCAGAAGCAGCTGAGAAAGTCGAGGCCGGTCTAGTGCAGCTTCACTGCGTTGTGCAACGATAGCACGGAGCCAAATAGCACAGCAGATTTCCACACCTAACACGCAAATGCGAAAAGCAACGTCTGTATTAAACGTATCCCCTCCCAGTGCAATTTAACGCTGAACGAGGCTCTTGCAGAGCACATCACAGCTTCGCTAGCCCGAGGAGGTTACATAATATCAGCACATGGGTTGTTGGAGAGCCTTTTCTTCCATCGTTATTGCATAACAATCTCATCAGCACTAAGTCCACACTATTCGCGCTGTCGTTGCTATGGCCACCTTGTCGAGATTCTGCTGCTGACCTACTCCCTCGTGTATCAGACAGACACAGCATTGCTTCGGATGCTGATAAATTGGTTATTAATGCCGCTAAATCTGGACACTGTTGGACATTCAACAGGACATTCAACCCTAACGAATATAGGTTATTATTGTTTATCATTATATGGTCCTAATTTACATTATAGAAGTAACTAGTTAGCTAACATTATAACTGACTGTTCATCTAGAAAATATATTACAGAATGATAGTTACCAGGCAACATTACTGAACCATTCAGTAAAATGAACCATTACTGTATACTGTTTTTGAATGACCACGACAAGATTATCGCTATCTGACTAAACAATGACTGGCCGTGAGCTAACGCACTTCACTTCTGCGTTAAAATAAGCAAAAACCTTTCGTTCAAAGTGGAGCTGAACCAAGTCCCTCTGATTAAAGCAGGACACTCTAGGCTTCACACCAACAAAACATAGATGCCCTTCACAATTCAAAGCATTTATTTACCTGATATTTCCAAGTCCGTTCAACGAGAAGAGTAATGAATTGCTTCAACCGCCTCTGCTGAACTCCCGCTAAGTGGTTGACTGAAAGTAATGTGGGTGTGTTACCGACTACTCGTTGTACTCGGTCTTGTGTCTCATTGGCTATCGCTTACCGCCGCAGTCTTGCGATTGGTCAGATTCTCAGCGTTCTCCCCACACTTTACTCCCGCATTTTATTTCAAACCGTCATGCTTTGCGATTTAGACGCTGTACTCGTATCCATAGCAACGAACGCGCGCATCAACCTTGTGTTAAATCTGGATGAAGCCTCAACTTTCTTAAACCAAAATTAGAAAGAGCCGAATCACTTAGCAGTAAACAAACCAATGATTTCCTTGTTTATTTTTTGTATAAACGAAGGAAGGTTTCGTTTTAGCCGCTTTCCAATCGCAGTTTACAAATTTCATCAGCGTCCTCTGCATTAGCCTGCAACACTGAACAGCAGTCACAAGTCAGCTGAACAGGGGTTAACTGCGATTATGTTAGTCTGACGGCGTCTGTATTCACAAACCACCCCAGGAGTATGAGTGCTGATCTCGAATCAGTTTTTGTGACCATGCCCGTCACAAATACGGAAGAATCTGATCTGAGATCAGCCCTCTGATTTAGGACTGCTTTGTGAAGCCAAGGGCTGGGCGGAGGTTTTTGTTGCACCCATCGAGCGGGTTATTGTGTTTTGCTGATAATTCAGCCTTACTTCACGTATTCATCCTGACATAGTTTTATATTACTACTTACCTTCTGAAAAGGTGAATTAGGCTGTCAGGATAACCTATGGGTTACTGGGATACTGATGGGTCTTTGCACTATGCAAAGATAGGCAGCCGCTTAGGCCACCATGAGCCCAGGGCAACATGACAATACAAGTTAGATATGCTGTACGTGTTGATGTTAAATAACCTATTCCGTAACATATATACATTTTAAACATCTATGTCATTATATGTTATTTTCGATTGCGACGATTATTTTTAGTAATATCAATGCAGCCCCACCTCCCAGTCATGGGTATGATAGTTCTCGTGTAGTTGACAAAACCGCGTAAAGACATGCTGTTATGAAAAAGTGATAATCTACATTATGGAGAGGAGCTTCTTCGGTGAGATTTTTTTGGGGGGAAAAACAAGCCATCCAAGTACAGTAGATAAACACAATAATAGAGAGAAAAGCAAAAAGTCTGTTTCTATTTTTTAGTCAGAACAGAGCGCTGCATCAGCAGACTGTACATAATGCTAGTATTAATGTTTGTGTAGATAATTTCAGTTTTGGAAGATGACTCAAAAATAATCCAAAGTAATTTCAAAATTAATGGGATTATGTTATCTATTAAAGTAATCTCATTACGCATTGCTTTACATCTATGTTGTTCTGTACCAGATTATTTCACTATATTGGCAGGTAATTTTGCTCAAGTATTATAAAACAAGCAAAATTATCTGCCAGTACAGTGAAATAGTTTCCCTTAATAAAACGACTTAGTAAAAATGTCTAGAAATATGTTAAATAATCTTATAATTTCCTTCTCCGAATGAGAAATAATAGACATATTGACGAGATTTAGGATGATTTCACTTGCCAAGATATCATTTTTGTGTAGTGGGAGCCCAGAGCCTCAACTAATTTAGAAATGTTTGTCCAGGGGGCTCCATTCCTGTCTTTCTGATAAGGTGATATAGGGTATCAAAATATCTTACCTATGGAAGGAAGTTACCTATAAATATGCGCTATGGTAGGACATTTCGACAGAACACCACCCCAGCGTGAAGCATGTCCAACCTTCTGACTATCCCAGCTATGCAAAGTGAAACAGTCACCACCTACCCTGCGTGAACGATTACGCTTTAAAGTCTGATGATGCTTATTTCACTGTGACAGGCTACTCTGCCGAGCAAACGGGTGAGTGAAAGCCGGTCAAAACCTTAATGCTTGTTCTTTTTATTAAAAGAAGCAGCTTTTAACATCTCAGCATGACCCCAACATCCACCATAGACTGATTCTTTTTGTACAGTTTACAGCTGACAATGTTCCTCCAGTCCTATGCTGCTTTGACGCCTTTTCAAATATATATGATGCTCATACACCCGTTTCTTTCTGCAACTACAGGCACTTTTAGGTCCTGGCAGTGCATTTTTTAAAATATATATTAACATTTTGAGCATAATGCATACAGAACGGTTTAGGAGTACAGTATATTTAGGGTCTGTTTATGGCAAAATGTGACATAGTTCACTTTACCTTCAGAAAAAAATGTTTGGTTTCAAGAAAAGTCACACCTAAGCAGAAAAGCTTTCAATGTAAATGAATAAGAAGGTTAGTAAATCTTGAGCACTATAAAAAAAATCACTTCTTGTGGAGTCCCACAAGGTTAAATTTTAGGGTCTTTGCTTTTCTTTTTGTACTTACCTCTGGGTAATGTTGTCAAGAAATATGATATTAATTTTCATAGCTATGCTGATGACATGCAATTATGCATTTAGAAATGATACATCTCTGCATTAAGCACATTTTGAGTCAAATAGTTTGTCATTGCATAAAAAGAAGTTATTACTGAATTACAAAATGACACCATTTAGACTGAAACAGCGCTGTATACATTTTAAATTAAAATATTATTAAATACTGTTGATCAGTCATTAATGTATTTTTTTCTCTAAACATGCATGTCCCACATTTATATGTCCTTACCGCAACACTATCCAAATGATCTAAAATATAGTTTTTTTTTCCAAAGCCAAACATACCTACTATTGATGGAAACTTAAAAAATTCACACATAAACAAAATGTGCAAAACCTACTTTAAGTGTCTGGATTCACAGAAACACAGGACATGCTATTTATCAGTTATATTCAAAACAGTAAAAGGAGTCTTTACCAGGACATCCTTACCACAACACTCTGTTATGGTAAGGACACATTGTGGAAACATTTTCACTCTTTTTCTAGTAATTTGGAAAGCCAAAAGTGCCCATGATTGTAGAAACACTCATATATTGTTGTCTTGTTTTCCTCTCTAGTCAGTGTTGTGTGTTTGTTGTATATTCTGCATTCATTTAACACTGTCGTGCATCTGCACTCTACATAGTCCTGTGTAATGTGCGGCTTTTGCATGTTGCTCCATGAGGTCTGAAGTACAACACTTTGTTGTCTGGTGTGGTGGCTTCTTTTCATTCATTCATTCATTAAAAAAGCACAATGTAAAAAACAGAGACCCGATCAGCTGTTTGCAGACTGAGAGCAAAACAGATGGGCTACAATCTGTAATTGTTGAACTACAAAGTGCAACCATAAGGTAAGTGGACGTGATAAAAATGAACTGTAAATGTAGATAGAAGGCAGGTGTTCCTAGTAAAGTGGCCAGTGAGCGCATAACATCCAGTTTATAGCAGCATGAAACATTCTGATCATCTACTTCAATTTTCAGTTACATTTTACTATGTTCGTATCTGACAATCATGTTTACAAAAATAATAACCAAAAATATTTTCCAAGGAAAGACACTGTGATGCATTATGGTTGTGTTTAGTCATTTTTTCATCACTGCAAATCCAAACCACTCACAATCCATTCTCATGAATAACAAAAATTAGCTCATCTAAACCCAAAAACAATAAAATGAGTTTAACACTACTTCAGATCTGCATGTGAATAGAAAACAGAGTGTTTCGCTTCCATTTGTCACAGCTTGGTGGGCAATTTTTCCACACGATAAAGCACCTTAATAAAAATGACAAACATTTTAAATAACATAATATTACCTCCCCATGAAATATATCCACCCCCTTAAAAAAGGTCATGTATACAAAATACTGAGTTCATGAAAACAAATAAAAGCATTTACTACAGAAACATGTAAATGAGACCAGCTTATTGCCAGCACTGTCTAGCTCTTTCATTCAGTCTGATGGTTTTTCTGTCGTTCAGACTCACTATCCGCATGATATTATGTATAATTCTCCCAGCCTATAAAATCAAGACTCTTAGCTATTTCTTTATAGCTGATATATTCACTCAAAACACATATCACCCTACTCTACATCCTAAATGGCTTCTCTTGCTTATTAAAAAAAAAGACTGTGACCTATCACTGAGCTACCCACTCACACACACATGCAAACAGCTTGAGGTGGTATGTTTTGGGATTTTGTCTCTGACGATGAAGAGACTAAGCACCTCCAAGTTCACTCTTTATTGAAGTCTCTCCGGCTCAATCTTTTTTCACTCGCTGCGATCCTTTGGTTCTCTGTATTTCATATGGATGTAGTCAAATATGTCCTTCTCACTGTCCACCAGCAATGGCTCTCCAGGTACACCTAAGACAGAGAAAAGGGTTACTGTTTTTCACCTGCCAATGCCAAATATTTTTCCAACAGTACTCTTAAAATAAGTAGGGACCTTCAGAAAAAAGGTTTGGCCCCATCAGAACTTTGCAAAAAAGCTTGCAGTGTAAATGCTGCCTCTGTTTGCACGCGCATGACGTAATTATATTTTCCATTTTTTACTCTATTTTCTAAGTAAGATATTTTATGAAATATTAAGCACTAAAAAGATGTTATCAGATTTCAAAATTTTCTACCACTACATCAAGAGTGAAATAGTGCTCCTTGGTATTAAAATTCAGAGAACTCTGCTTTGTGGGAATCTACGTTCTCTCACATAATATACCAAATGTGAAGTATGGAACTTGGTTGTAATCTTATGTTTTAATGTTAAAAAGGGATTTAAAAATATATCTCTGTAGTTGCTATGAGCAGAACAAAGACCAACTATACAACTAATATGGAAAATGCCAACATTAGAGGATTACACTTTGGCAGCATTAGGAAGGTTTAGCTTAATAGCACAGGGACAATTTTTTTTCCATTTTAAATGATGTACCTTAACATATCTAAATGTATACCTAAATCTATCCTTCTTACCAGTGACCCCTAGTGGACGGATAGTGTACTCATTCAGGGTAAAGCCTTTCTCCAGGGCGAGAGTCCTCATATTCTTATTGAATATGTCACTTCCAGTGAAGTACAGCACACCACAGTAATACTGATCTTTAGGAATGAGCCTGAAGAGACAAAGACAGCGAGAAGCATAAATGGATTTGTAAAAGCAGCAGATCTGGTTCAAAAATTTAACTGGCCAAACCATGTTCAAAGCCATTGTAAAATACATATTATGAGCAGTTTAAGATAAACCATTGTGCAGTTCATGCAATATTCTTTGCCTATATGGTTGTATTTGAACATTACAATATTTAATAATCTTGTGTTTTGCTGTTATTTTATGAAAGCAATTTTATATAGGATTTCTACAGTGTATTTTAAAGCAGCAGTGGTAAAAATTATTGTAATGCATGGCCTCAAGTAGCTCCCAATGTGATCATATATAAAACTATTTGTATTTTGCAGAAGAAGGGCGTGAGCAGTAGCTGGATGTAAAGACATTAAAGAGTCTCTGTGATTAATGTGCACCTGATATCAATACGCCGGTGATCATAATCATTCTCATCCTCCTCCTGCCTCTGCAGCTGACATACGCCCTGAAAAAAGAGAAGTGAAATCATAACATGAAAGACAGCAAAAGAGAGCAAGAAAAAGAAAGAGAATCAAAAGAGCTCTCACCATAAACTTAGTGTCTCCTTTGGATAGGGTATCAGTAACAAAGCCAATAGACTCCAGGTGCTCCACCACTGCATGAAGCAGTTTGGGCTGGAAGAGAAGAGAATAAGAAAAAGGTGAAAACAGAAAACAAAACAAAACTTGCACCAACCTGTTTTCTTGGATCTGTGAGAAGACGGGAAATATCTGAGCAAGACACATTGCATGGGCAAGTGTAATACCTAGGCAAAAAAGCAGATACATTTTAATCTACTCTTTTAATACCATGATTTCTCAATGCTGTTATTGCATTTATTAGGATACGTGAAGAACATGATCCAATAGAGAGCCAACTGAAAGGAGAATTCCACCAATTATTTAGTCATTAAGATTTAAACAAAGTCATTTAGAGTGGTTTGATGGGAAACTTGCAGACTCAGATTTTTTTTTATAGTGGTGCTAAGGGTTTTATGTAATGTTGATAATTACAAAATAGTTGTAAATCTGGTAAAATTAGATTTTCTTTTGGGACTATGTTGCATTACACTTTATCTTAAAAGTGTATCTCTCAACACATGTAAAAACACTTTGTTACATCTTTCTGGGAGACTTTTGATGCATTAAACGCTACAGACACCTGGTCCCTTTCACAACCATTACGAATAATTCTGATCTGATGAGTTTCGTTAGAACTCATGATTTCATATCAAACCACTCTGAATGACTTTGTTTACATGTTAAGGATTTAATCATATAGAAATTTAGAAAAACCGGTGAACTTTTCCTTAAAGCGTCCACCAAACAGATGTTAGGTAAGACAGGGTTGAGTAAAAAAACAAGGCAAATAGTCTAAATAAAATGTTTATTGTATTAAGTGCTTACTTGTTTCTCAGACTCGGAAGTGAAGTCTGGGTGGGTTAGCAGGATATCAATATCACCACTCGACTCTGCTCCTGAATGTTAGATAAAGATTCAGTGCATTACATATGCTTAACATCACATTCTTTCTGATGAAATGTTCTTTATACTGTTGTCCAGCTAAGAGCTATTATGGAGCATATTAATGATTCATAGATCACTTATAACTACATTAATTGTTACTACACAAACCTCGTCTGTAGCTGCCACAAATGGTGCCAATGTACTCCGGGTCCAACTTCTCTAGCTCTTGTATGATCAGAGCCTGAAAACGGCATGTAAATACATTACTACAATTATTCTGTCAGGCTTTGTAATGCAACTGACAGCACTAATAACGAAAAGTCTCCCACCTCCATTTTCTGCATCTCAGAACGGGGAATTCTCTTCTCAAATTCTTCAAAGTATCTTTAGGAAAAGTGAGACAAATGACATACAACATCTAAACCATTTACAGAAATATTACAAGTATTACACTGACACTAGTTTCAGACTTCTATTTATCCATTATATCTCAATAATATAAAGAAAAACTAGGCAATTTTAGTGTGTGATTAAATATTGTATTACATTTACATCAAAAACTACTCATGTTCACTTTGAACTTGAATAGTGAAATTACTATCTGTTATGTTTCATCATGGGAAAATGGAAAACAAATATACAGGTTACCAATTAAATGAAATGCCAATTTTATGTTTTAACATGAAAATAAACATGTAATTCATGTAAAATAACATGAATTTACTTGTATTTATGAGAAATTAAGCGTTTTTCTACTTTGTAACATGAGTGCCTTAAGCACTTTTGCTAAGGACGTGTTGTTAAGGATGTGACTGAGAAGTCAGAAGTCAGCTTTTCATGCAGTCAAGTGAAATTAGAACATGATCCGATCACCAAAAACTCATGTTGATGCAATATTTATGCAACACAATTATCAACATACAAACGATTATCCTTTCATTAACCCTTATGGATACTGAAACATAAATTATCAACACACAATATGCACACTCACTTTAGGCCAATCTGCTGATGGTGGTTCAGCTTGTGCTCAATCTTTTTCAGATCTGAAGGAGAAATCAATGAAAAAGACCCGCGTTGGATGTTGAAGGCTGAAGGCTGACTCGAACAAACACAACAGAAAAGGGTGTAGAGAACAGGGGGGGAACAAACCTTCCAAGGTCTTGACTCCTTCATCATAAAACTTCCTTGCAGCGGCCGGGCTAATAAGAAAGAAGCAGCGAGAGATAAATACAACTACAAGACAGTACACAGAAATAATGTTCAGTAAAGCTAAATGATTCCTACCCGATTCCAGTCACTCTAGTTAAAAAGTTGATAGATGAGCTGGTGTCATCACTGCGAATCTGCAGAGGACAAACATGAGGTCACATCCAAATTGTGTATTTAGAGTGTATAGTGTTCTTTTCCATTCTACTTGTATAACAGCCGCAAAGACGCATGTTTGTATGACAACAGCCTTTTCTTAAATTCTTGTCCTCTCCTTTACAATTTACACCAATATTTCAGAAGACTCAATTACCTTTTCCAGTTTACGAAGTTTCCCTGTAGATAAAAACTCATCTATTTTCTCAGCAATCTTGGCACCAACTCCATCCTGAAGGAAGAGTGGTAGGATAAAATAATTTTTGTCATTTTACAAATACAAGATGCATATATTATATATAAACACCAATATGCCACTATATGAATGGAGGGAAATACTGTTTATTTACCAGCTTCTTTGCTTCAGTGCCACTTTTGATTTTGTTTGGGTATTTAGCAATCACAGATGCAGCTTTCCTAGGCATTAAAATGTGAATCACAAATACAAAGCTACACCACTGCTACTTCAAACTGCACCAAGTGGATTTGTAGTTAAAGTAATCTCACTGGTTTACCTGTAGGCATTGTATTTATGGATGGCCCTGTTGACATTTCTTTCATAATTGGCCAATTCTAAGAAAAAAAGATGATGATAAAGTAGTAGGTTAGAAAAGTAGATCCGGCAAATGTGGAGTAACATTCAAGAAAAGAACTTAATAAAAAGAGGAATCAAACATGTCGAATCTGCTGAACAGGGCTGAATGGAAGGGGATTTAAATGTACCCAAGAATCGTGCTGACTTGAAATGGCTTTATAAATGCTTTCGAGAAATGAATACTGCTCATCATTCTGCTCGTGTAACCTTAAGTCTGTTTTGAACATTCTGAAAGGTTCTGTAAACATTTTAGTAAACATTTCTACATTAATAACAAACGTTAGCTAGCTAGCTAAATAGCTGCGTCAGGCAGGCTAAGGTTACCATTAACTGAATCCAGCTGCTGCTCAGCACGAAGCATGCAGGGGTAACTGTTTAACAGTGGTTTAGAGATATATTTAATCTATCAGTTTAATATGTGCAAGTCAGTAGTGCCGACAAGGACAAACCACAGCCAGGTCAATTATGTTAGCTAACATTACACATCTCGCTAATATTCGGGCTAGCTAAGCTAACACTACCTAACTAACCTAACCTACGTGAGTAACGTTAGCTCACTGTCAGGGCAACGCAGAGCTTACCAATGAGAAAATCTGTGATCCCCTCGTTTAAGGTCTCTTGTGGCGCTTTCCGTTTACTCATAGTTATCTCTGATAAACGTCTGACTAATGGGTATCACCGGCGTGGTTTTATATTCACTTAATTTCAGTATAAATCAGTCTGTTGGTGCTGTAAGGCTGGAGACAAAGCACTGTCCGGAGGACGCAGAGCTCGTCACTGCTACGTCACTGCTGTCGTGGACATGTCGGCTGAGACAAAGCAAAAGGCTTTTAAATGAAAAAAAGAAAAAAGCTTTTAAAGGATCTGGATGATTTTTATGAAATTGTTTTTTAAAGAAAAGTATCACTTAAATCTAAAATGCTCCAAATTCTACATACATAAGCGTAAATAAAAAATATGGTAATACTCTTGTACACTGTGCTGCTTCAAAGCTGGTGTAACATAACTGTGGTAACTATTTAGCCGTCATGTTCAATAAAGCATCTTCATTTACTTAATCAATCTAAAATATTTATTTAACAACTCTAACAGATCACGTATTGATTCAAAGGCAGTAATGGTGTACTATGATACCAACATAAATGAATGAGCACCATCACAAACAGCAAATACTAATACTACTACTACTACTACTACTACTACTACTACTAATAATAATAATAATAATAATAATAAATAAGAATAAGAATAATAATATGTGGTTGCTATTATTATCATCATCATCAGTATTACGATTAATATTATTGTTACAGAGCAATTATTATTACCAGTGTAGTGTTATTCACAACTCAACACATCCACATCACTACTGCTTTCATAACAAAAGGCACAGTGATTCTGGACAAAGGCAGCGCCTCATTAAATTGAAACACCTGTGATAAATGCTGAAGGCTTAGCTACTTAATGTGACAACACACAAAAGATCCACATACTGCACATTGTCAACACTTAAGAAAATAACCATGCATACTTCAAAATGACTTTTTTGAATAATGATATGCACAAAAGTCTTCGATAATTAACACATTGTATCACAAAATACAATTTTTTTTCCAGTGTTCACTAACAGTGAAGTTTCGACTTTTTCTGTGATTACAATCTCACACATGAGCTTTTGTCTCCACTGCTAATTTTTTCATTTTTAAATTTAGTTTTTTATTTACACTTATTTTAGGAACCTAATTCATGTACCCAAATGAATGTGACTGGTCGAATAAAACATCTTAAGTATTTATCTTTAGTTTAAAGCTTATGGTAGTTGCACATTTAAATTAAAATTTTGCAACTGTCAAAAATGTAAGTGCTAAAACGTACAACTATAGTCTAAAACACAATTTACAATTACACTGTAAAAAATTCTAACAGTAAGACAACAGAACAACAGTGTTTTTCATTCCTTATTATTTGAAATTCAATGAAATGGGAATTTTAAGGCAACCAGGTTACTAACTTTTTAAGGATAAAACATTGAATCGTTATGATTTTTTTTAACAGTTTAGTTTTACCTTCTATAAAAGAGATTTTATGCAGCTTACATAAGGTCAAAATAACTTAAGATGTTTTACATAAGTGACCACTGATCTTTAGTGTTTATAGTAAATAAGTATGTAAGTATGTGTGATGGGTACAGAACTGTAAAACCAAACATGCAGCCTGCTTGAGGGACGTGATGGGTAATCAATTAACACTGAATGTGTTATTTAGATTGATGATGGTTCATGAGTCATTTTTCACATAGACTTTATCACGGGAGAATATCTTGATGGCCTCCTCAACTTCAGAGAGGCGTCGGTCGAGCTCTGCACGGCGGGAGCGCACGCTTACTGTGTCAGCTCTGACTGGGAGAGAGAGCAGCTCGCTCACCAGAGATCTGTGCGCTACATAGAGAGGGAGAGAGAGAGAGAGAGAGACGTAGAGAGAGATATTTGTCAACATTCAAGTGTTGTCAAGTGTTTGTTATGTGCTAGATCATGCATTGTGACTAGAGCTGTAACTATTGATTATATTAGTATTCCTCATGATAAAATGAGTAGTAAGACTGCGTTAGGAGGACCAAATAATAAAAATGGACTGAACAATAGCAAAACATGTAGAACTTTTCAGAGATGTCAAAATACTTTATTAAATAAAGTTCCAATAGGAAACCTTCAAAATGTGTCAAAAAAGGAATGTCTATTGGGCTCTGTTTCTTACTATGTAAGAGACCAGTAAGAGAATTTTAAATATGCATTCTCATCATGCAAATTGCTAATCACTGCTGAGTCATGAAAAACGTACATTTTAATAAATGTTTTTTATCGAGTTTAAAGCTACACTATGTAAGGTTTGGAGACATCTCTGGTGGAAATGTGTTATTGCAAGTAATATGCAGAACATTCTGTAACAATGGTTGTGCTGCATACCCCTGCCCTGAGCAGATGAATTTGACGTGTGTGAGCACATTGAAAGAGTAACAAAAGAGAACTCAGTCAAAACTTTGTCTTTAAATGATGAAAGAAAATTATCGTCATCAAATCTTCATCACTATAATGTTGCTGTTGCATTGGTTGTGACATTTATACAATATCTGCCTCGACAGTTCTGATTTTTAAATGATTGTTTCGCAGCAGTGCACACCACCGACTTCAAAATAGGAGTAACAGAAGACACACTTTCTTTGAGCGACTTCAGAGTTTCCTGCCTCTCTCTATCTGACATCTGAGTGTGCCCAGCAGGTACAGAAGGGTCAGGTGTGTTCCTCGTCCTCTCCTCCGCCTCTTTTCGCCACAGCTCCTTTCTGTCCTCCAGACTTTGATGTGGGAAAAGAGGTGGAAAGGAAAGACATACAATGACCAGTTACTGGCACACATATGGGCAGAATTTGTATTACCATAAGTAATACCATAAACTGCAGATGCAGATCACATACATTACAAAATGTAAGCTTGATTCTAAAAATTAGGATGTGCATTTCTCTAGTGACTATGTTGTTCTGTTAAAGGTTAATATAATCACTCACTATTGTGGCACACGACCCTTCACTGCGCTTGGAGGCTGCTTGTTTTGCAGGTTCTGTAGGGACTGAGAGCGTCTCATCGCCGTCTTTGCTGCTGCACGTGCGTTATGCCTCACAAAGTCCACAAAGTGTCCTCTTACCTGGATCTACAAAAGCACAAATCACAATACCACTACATTTTGATGGCAATATGATCACAAACAGAAATATCACTACATTTACATACCCTAATTTCATAGTTATTCAAAAGCTTCATCTCCGACATATTTGTCAAAGGTGAAAGTCATGTTAGGTTGGCGTGTGTGTGTGTCTCAATTAGAGCATGTTTTATCAACCAGAAAAATGCTTAATTTGAGATTAAATCATCCAAATCATCACAATATCAGTAAAATCAGCAATTCAGCTTGAATGTTGTCAATTATGAATTGGAATTTGCATACTTGAATCTTGATTAGATCATTAGATCTTTAATTGAGTAGTAATTGCAAACAGACAAACAATTGAGGATCAGGCACACAATCAGATTTAAGTATTCTGTGACTGGGCCAATTTTATCACGGAGGACAAACAACGGTTCATGAGTCTGCTGAACATTTCCTGTTTTTTGGCTCATACCTGGATGACTTGAGAGCGTATATCATTAAAATTGTATGTATATGATGGTAAATTCTGGGATATGATTTACAAACGATATGTTAAGAAGAGGTTAGTGGCCGTTTTTTTTCCCACAGTGGAAACTGATTCACTGCTTGTAAATTCACACGTTTTGCACTTGTTTCAATGTAACACCAATAACGTCAATAACATACCACTACACATGAATCACACTGTGTGTATAATCACTAGTCACAGTTACTTTGCACAGTATACAAAGAGCAAAGTAACTATTACAGTTTGGGTATTCAATGCCATCTAGTAACATATAAACCTGAAAACATACGTGTATACAAATATGTTTCACTATCACTATCAGCTGCTTTCTATCAACAGTATTTACAATAATTACAAGTGTGAGTGTGAGGGACTGTGCGAGTGTACCTCTGAATCTGAGTCTGATGTCTGAGGGTTTGGGTTGTTTTCAGAAGGGGAAGTTGGTGCTGAAAGAGGCCGACGAGGCTGAGGTCGACCACCTGCACCGCAGACAGAGTGGGCTCTTAGGAAGTTCTGACATTCTGGCCTCTTTGGAGGTGTTTTCTCCTTCAGAGAGAATAACAGTAGGAGAGATCAGAAACATAAGTACACACTAGGGCCTGATCAACATGAACATTTTATGGCTGATATTAATGTGAATTTTATGTTTTTATTTTAGATCCTAATTTTATACTCCAATAGTTATAGTTAAACAGTGCTTTAAGACAGATGTGATTGTCAGTTCTCAGTTGTCACACTTCTTTAACTCAAATAAACAGCAGAAACTCACAGCCTTAAATAATATAAATATTGCAGTGATGGAGTGGAGCCACCCAGAATTCTTTGAGGTTTGGGTTTCTGGTAATTACTTCTTATTGTTATTGTTTTTCATTAATTCCCTTAATTAAAAAGTTTTTTGTGCATTTGTACCATGTTATTCCCATGCTAAAAGTGGGGCTTGAGTGCATTTTATATGTCTTTGTAATTCTTACCAATTCTCATAATTCTTCTGTTCCGATTCAGTTCTACCTGTATTATTATTATATGGTTAAATAGAGAATGTCTCATATTAAGTTTCTCAGTGGTATAACGATCTATAGTTTTGCTTGAGTCAAAACTATAGATCTTTCTGTTGATGCCACAATAAAAATTGGTGCTAATTTACAGCATGCTCTCAGTGAAATTATTGGCCCATACCAATAATAGCATGGGCAGATATATCAGTCAGGCCTTAGTATACACATAGTTATGTCAGGCTAGTGGCCAAATGTGATACATTTATGAAACTTCAGCCAACTCCTATCTATAATCTATTTTGTGCATAAGCATTAAACACTTACTTGTAACTGGGCCATGACCCTCGAGGAGATGTCCTGGTATTTGGGAGAGCTCCACAGAGCTTTAACAGGAACTGGCTTTGCATGTTCTTTCTGTGCCTCCTGCTCACGGAACCGTCTCTGGATCTCCCGCAGCCTGCGGACGTTCTCTTTGCCATAATCACGCACTGCAGGTTCTGAGGAAAAGGAAAGAATAGAGGATAACAAGTGATATAACAGCAGCATAAATAACCATATAGGAGAATATTAGAAATGTGCATGTGTGCACCAGTAAGAGGAGAGGTAATTCACTTGAAGTCATTTTCTAAAAGACTGGTTAGCTAAAAGCAGGCTAAACCATTATCTACATCAAGAACTTAAATTTAACATAAGGTTGTCAATAACAGTTGTTGTAATCTTACTGTGTTTTACGGGGTTGGGAATCAGGGAGACACCCTCCAGTCTAAGGATGGCCCCCACTTCTCCTTTCTGGCTTCTTTCCAGGATGTGTGTGGCATTGGGGCCAATGCGAGGAGGACGAGGAGCACGGGCACTGTAGTAGCTTGGGTACAACGCAGGGTCTGGAGCTAAGGGCCCATTCAGTAGGGCTAAAGATCCACTCTGAGAATTCCCTTCCAGACGACCCCGAGCTTCAAAATGGACAAAAAAGAACGGAAGAGAATATATGAGATATGTGCAAAAAATTATCTCAATCTCACATCCGTATGAAGGCCTTCTCCTTACCGGAGGCTGGTCGTTTGTAGTATTCGGGGAAAAGGGAGGGGTCTGGTGGAATGGGCCCAGAGATCATAGAAGGTCCCTCACACATGATGGCAGTGAATGCTCTGTGGATTTCTTACAGTAACTGCACAAAGTGTTCCTTATGCTGCTTATAGCAGTCACCTAGATGGAAAAAACATAGATTTATTAGGTTATTTGATTCAATTTGGATCAATTGGGTCTAGACACCTAATGACCAAGCCAAGGGTGAAAACTGATGAAAAAGCCTGAGAAAGAGAGGAATTATAATACAAACAAATTTATAAGTGAGATTAAACAGAGGCGCTTGGCTCCTACATAGTAAAGATCCATGGGATAATCCAGTGACTGATGTTAAAAATCTGTCAAATATCTAGCAGGTTATGATGTACAGATATGCTGATATACAGATATGAGAACATAGTAGGAAAAGAGTCCAGGGTGAATAAGACAGGGCAGCCTTGAAGCTAATAAAAAATAGTTATAAAGGCTAGAAATCTGTCTGTTATGTCCAGTAGATTGTCTGTTGGGTTTTTGTCTATTTTATAGTATTTGTCTATTTTCAGAGTTTTTTTTTTTTTCAGTTCTAAAGTGAAAACGTGAATTTCTGATGGACTATATGCTTTAGATAAATATCACAGCCTGTTTAATGCCACTCAAATACATGCTGTTGCCGCTGCTGGAAACAGGATTCCTGAGGCAGCAATGAGTCACGATACACAGGAAATACTCGACGATGTATCATTTAAAAACGTCTTTTTAATATAAAGAACAGCCAACGGTCTAAGAGTGTATATACATATACCAAAGTAATTAATGACTAATTAACTAACATCCTTACCATCCGTTTGAATGCGTTTTGAATGAAGTTGATTTTTTTCCGTTCAACTCTCCGGCCCTCGTAAACACGCCGACTGATGACGCATAGACAAGCCGAATGCTTCTCCATGGCAACGGCTTAAAGACACAGTAGAAGCGACGCTGTGTGGTCGAGAGAGAGAGAGAGAGAGAAAGAGAGAGAGAGAGAGAGAGAGAGCAGTGTAAACCTTGCTATGAATCAAATCAACAGCATTTTTCACACAGCATCTTCTATAGCTCACCTTCAAAGAAAAAAAGGAACACAAGTAAAAAAATTGGACTAAGAAAAATGGTTTGATTTCGAATGCCAATCAATTAGAAAAGAACTAAGAAATTTTTCAAATCTAAAACACAGACAACCTGACAATCAAAATCTGAGACAAAAATACTGTGAAACTCTTAAACATTATAAAAGTACAATCCAAATCAAAAAACAAAATCACATGAACAAAACTCTCAGAGAAATAGAAGATTCTGTTAAACAAAATCAGTTCTGGGAGATGTGGAATAACTTGAGCACAACAAAACCACAAGACATACCTATACAAAACAGCCACATTTGGAAAAAACATTTTGAAAATCTTTACAAAGAAATCTCTCAAAAAGATGTAAATTCCAATCACAATCTGGTCATGCAAAAATTACAATCACTTGAATACACAATCAAAGACAACCAAAACCCACTCGATTATCCAATAACTCAAGAAGAATTGGCTCAAAAACTCAAATCATTAAAACCTAAAAAGGCTTGTGGCCCTGACAGCATCAGAAATGAAATGCTGAAAAACAGCACTCCTGAGCTGCAGAGGGCAGTGCTCAAATTATTCAACCTCATCCTGAGTTCAGGCTGTTTTCCTGACATCTGGAGCCAAGGACTTCTAACCCCGATCCATAAGAGTGGAGATAAATTGGACCCTAACAATTTCAGAGGCATCTGTGTGAGCAGTAATCTGGGGAAAGTGTTTAATAGCATTTTAAATAACAGAATTCTAACTTTCCTTAACGAACACAATGTCCTGAGCAAGAATCAGATTGGCTTCGTTCCAAATCACAGAACTACCGACCACATTTACACGCTACACACCCTAATTAATCAACACGTACACCAAACAAAAAATGGAAAATTTTTTGCCTGTTTTGTAGATTTCAAGAAGGCATTTGATTCTATTTGGCATGAAGGGCTTTGCTATAAACTTCTACAGAGCGGTGTAGGGGGTAAAGCTTACGATATAATCAAATCGATGTATTCGGAAAACAAATGTGCGATAAGAATTGGAGACAAACATACAGAATTCTTCACTCAGAAAAGAGGAGTGAGGCAGGGCTGCAGCCTGAGTCCAACACTGTTCAACATCTACATTAATGAGTTAGCGGTGCAGCTGGAACAGTCTGTAGCTCCTGGACTCGCTCTACAGGATGAGGAGGTGAAGTTCCTGCTCTACGCAGACGACCTGGTGCTGCTGTCTCCGAGTGCAGAGGGGCTACAGCAGCACCTGGACCTGCTGGAGCAGTACTGCCAGAACTGGGCCCTGGCAGTAAACCTGAAGAAGACAAAAGTTATGATCTTCCAGAAAAGGCCCAGGTGTCAGGAACACAGGTACCAGTTGACTTTGGGCAGCACCGCCCTGGAGCACACGATGCAGTACACTTACCTCGGCCTCATCGTTACTGCATCTGGGAGTTTCAGTCCGGCAGTGAATGCACTAAAGGAAAAAGCTCGCAGAGCGCTGTACGCAATCAGGAGGAGACTCTACAGTATTGACATTCCCATCTCAATCTGGTGTAAAGTGTTTGATAGTGTGATCCAGCCCATTGCGCTGTATGGGAGTGAGGTGTGGGGTCCACTCAGTGAGCACGGCTACACTAGATGGGACAAGCATCCAACAGAAGCCCTGCATGCAGAATTCTGCAGAACGATCCTGAAAGTCCAAAGAAAAACACCAACCAACGCATGCAGGGCAGAATTAGGCCGATTTCCTCTGTTAATAAACATTCAAAAAAGATCTCTAAATTTCTGGATGCACCTGAAAACGAGTCCCAGAGAAACGCTGCAGTTTAAGGCGCTACAGACCCAAGAACTGAACCCTGAGAAGAGCTCCCTCAGTCAGCTGGTTCTGAGGCTTATTAACCCACTAACAGATCCTAACACACAGCAGCCTCGCTCCAGCACTGCTTTACAGCCCAAACTAAACATCAATCATGCCATCAAAAACAGTAAGAATGATTATCTGGAACATTGGAGTAAAGAAATTAACACTCAGAGTAAATTAAAATGCTATCAGGCCCTAAAAACAGAATATGAATTGGAAGAGTATCTCCTGACTATCAGAGATACAAAGCAGAGACAGATCCTGACCAAGTACAGACTCAGTGACCACAGCCTGGCCATAGAACGGGGCAGGTATAAAAAGTCCTGGCTGCCCAGAGAGGAGAGGCGGTGTGGTCACTGTCTGACAGGTGAGGTCGAGACAGAGATGCACTTTCTTCTTCACTGTGAAAAATACAAACAAACAAGGGAAATTTACACAAACAAATTCAACAAATTAATCCCAAATTTTGAAAAATGTACAGAATTGGAGAAATTACGAATATTCCTTGGAGAGGGGCCCACAGCCCCCCTGGCTGCTAAATATGTAACAACATGTCACCGCCTGAGAGACAGCAGGTAGTAACCTCCCCATACCCCCCACCCTCCATACCCCCACTCCACTGACCCCCAACATTGCAAATGTCATTAGTTTACTAATGTATGGTTATAATTATAAACAGTGATAATAATAATAATACTCTAATATTGTGATTATAATAATATGGTTATTATTTATGTTGGTTCTTTTATCTTGTTCTGTTTTTTTAATTGTTTTATTTATTTTTTTTTACTGTTTTTGTTGTTCACTTCTACTGTTGTGATGCTTTAGCAATACTGTACTTCACAGTCATGCTAATAAAGCTATTTTGAACTTGAACTTGAACTTGAGAGAGAGAGAGAGAGAGAGAGAGAGAGAGAGAGAGAATGTCTTGTAAGTGTCCAGAATATGAAGCAAAGACGGATCCTCACCAAATACAGGCTCAGTGACCACAGCCTGGTCATTGAGAAAGGAGGAGGTATAGAAGAAACAGAGAAAGAGCTGCTGTTCCTACTTAACTGTCCAAAATATGAATTTATTTGACCACTAAATCATGAGAAAACTGGGATTCCCTTCTAATGTCTAACCAACCTTCTACATTATAAATTGATAAATTGCCTCTACATTGGTACCTAAGACAATAACAAAGATAATCATAACTGAAACTTAAACTAAGATGTGAACCATTCTGCTGAATTAGTTTAAACTGTGGTCCCACAGTAAAAAAAAAAAAACTATTTAAAAAAATATTTTAAAAAGTGTTTAACTATTCAGATCTACAAATGTTATGTTATGATCTATTTAAACCCAACACATTAATTGAGGTAGTAATTCAATTCAACTTTCAATTTTATTGTCATTATACTGAAACAGGGTTGTACAGTACAATGAAACACTTTTAGGCTAGATCTCCAGTGCAATTACAGACAACATAGTGCAGGACAGGACATAGTGCAGGGACATTGAACAATAAATACAGAAAATAAATACAAGTATATACACTGCAGTAGGTGTGCTGGTACTTTAACACTGTTAATATAACAGTAGGTGCAATAGGGTATGTAGAGGGCAGGGAGCAACAAACTATGGGTTAAAGTGCATGGTGCATACAGTCTCTGAGCTGATGGCGATCTGAGGGATAGTAGGGGGAGGACAGAGGTCAGTCTGTTAATCAGGTTGAGGTTGGTGTGAAGTAGTGTGAACAGAGGTCAGTCTGTATGAGTTCAGGTTGAGGGTAGTGTAGCTGGTGACACCAGTTTAACAGCACGGGGGAAAAAGCTGTTTCTGAGTCTGGTGGTTCTGGCTCTGATGTTCCTGTACCTCCTTCCAGAAGGCAGAGGCTGGAACAGCGGGTGGCTGGGGTGTGTGGGGTCGGAGGAGATGCAGAGGGCCTTCCTCAGACATCTCTTGCTGTAAAGGTCCTGCATGGGTGGGAGGGCAGCCGCGGTGATGCGCTGGGCAGTTTTCACCACTCTCTGCAGGGCCTTGTGTTCAGCAGCAGTGGCACTGCCGTACCAGACTGTGATGCAGCTGCTCAGAATGCTCTCCACAGTGGATCTGTAGAAGTTGCAGAGAAGCTGTTGTGGCAGGTTGACTCTCTTCAGCCGTCGGAGGAAGTGGAGCCGTTGCTGTGCTTTCCTGATGATGTGGGATGTGTTCAGTGACCAGGTGAGATCCTCAGAAATGTGGACCCCGAGGAACTTGAAGCTGCTCACTCTCTCCACCGTCGTCCCCTCGATGCTCAGCGGTGCATGCACTCTGCTCCCCCGCCTGAAGTCAACAATCAGCTCCTTGGTTTTGCTGACGTTGAGGGAGAGGTTGTTGGCAGTGCACCATTCAGCGAGGAGCTTCACTTCTTCCCTGTATGCTCCCTCATCATCGTTGGTGATGTTGCCGATGACTGTAGTGTCGTCAGCAAACTTGATGATGGTGTTGGTGCTGTGCTTGGCAGAGCAGTCTTGGGTGTACAGGGTGAAGAGCAGGGGTGAGAGTACGCAGCCTTGTGGGCATCCGGTGCTGAGTGTGAGGGTGGGGGAGGTGTGGTCACCCATTCTGACAGACTGTGGTCTGCCAGTGAGGAAGTCCATGATCCAGTTGCAGAGGGAGTTAGTTATTCCAAGGATGTTGAGCTTGGAGACCAGTCTGGATGGGATGATGGTGTTGAAAGTGGAGCTGAAGTCAACAAACAGCATTCTGACGTATGTGTTTGTTCCCTCCAGATGGTTGAGTGCGGTGTGCATTGCCAAGGTGACAGCATCGTCCGTAGATCTGTTTGCCCGGTATGCAAACTGGTGTGGGTCCAGGGTGCTCGGGAGGCTGTTCTTTATGTGATGGAGGATCAGCCTCTCAAAACACTTCATCACTATGGGTGTGAGAGCGATGGGACGGTAGTCATTCAGGCAGGAGATGTTGGTTTTCTTTGGAATGGGGACAATGGTTGTTGTTTTAAAGCAGGCAGGGACGATGGACTGCGCCAGTGAGACATTATAAATGTCTGTGAAGGGTGTCGCGAGTTGGTTGGCACACGCTTTTATTACTCTGCCTGGGATACCGTCTGGACCAGCTGCCTTCCGGGTAGGAACCCGCGACAGTGCTCTCCACACCTCTTCTGTAGCCAGGGTTAGTGGCTCATCTGTGGTGGTGGAGGGCAGGGCAATGGTGGTTGGATGCTCCAAAGCAGTGTCCTCAAAGTGGCCAAAAAAGGTGTTGAGTTCAGCGGGAAGGGATGCGTCTGTGCATGGAGAGCTGTTAGTTTGACTCTTGTAGTCAGTAACAGCTAATGAGCTAAATATACAGGAAATCATCATTTATAGAGTACTTTCTATTGGGAGGTGGCTGTCCTGAACTCCAACCCCTAAATTTCAACTACAAGTTTTTGTATTTTTTTAATTGATATCTTTTAAAGTGAGGTTAAAAGATTTAGATTTATCATGAGTTAAAGTTGTCATGTCACTACTGAAACACAAAGAGTTTTAGTCCATAGGGGGAGCCTTATTTTAGTCACACCCCATTTTAGAGCAGGAAGTGAGACTGCATTCCTGTCCTTTATGGCCACATGGTGAGCAGTTAGATCCCCTTGTTTTGAAGTAATTGAGTCCCAAAGTGTTTTGGTAGCGACAGAATGGAATGTTCAATCATTTGTTTTATTAAAATAAACATAATTAAAATGTATGATCACTCAAAGCAAAAGGATTTTAGTCTAAAATCCAAGTCAGTCAAAAGCCCCACGCATTTTGAACTCTGATTTTGAACTAGTTTGGTAAAATGATCCGTATAACAATGTTCATGCTAATAACGTGTCAGTATAGAATAATAAAACTTTACAGCAACGATACAGAGTACTATAAAATATCTTTCTTAATGAAGCAGACAAATGTAGACCAGTCTTAACTTAATTCTTAACAGATTTTATTCTTAACAGAATTTATTGTGTTCAGAGTAGAAGAGTAGAAGAACCCTAAGCTAGAATGAGTCATCCAGCAGAACACTCTACATTTGTCTGTTTGTATTTGTGTAAATGGGCACATTTTGATTTATTAGAATTCATGAACATATGCACCCATAAGCTGTATCTATACTGCCTCCTCTGACCATGGGTAAAACTTTGTCCAACCAGTCTAACAAAATAGGTTCGACTGTATTGATACAAAAGATGTTTAGCCTTTCACTGCTGTTAGCCACAGCTAGCTAACTGTGAAAGTATCACCTAATAAACTAATTTTACTATTCAACAGTTTCAGGGCAGAGAGGACTCTTTGGGGTTCAGCTTTCAAGCTGAATTCCTGAGACAAACCACAGCTCTGCCTCAAATTCTTTTGTTGTTGTTTCACTGCAGACTAGTTTTCTGTTCACATGAGTTTTTTGTCTCCTTATACCACTTTAGAGTACTCTGGAATACAACCTTCAAGCCACATCAAATCAATGAGACATGCAAATGTTTCCCCTGTTTTTTTAGCAAAAGATTAGGATCCTCAGGTCTTGTATGTTTTACAAGGATGTGAAATTGGTATCGAGTCATATTGCATAGTCTGAGAAAGCAGCCCATATATTTAGATGATGTTTAGTTATTTAATTGAGATTGAGATTATAATTATGCTACATTGAGGAGATTAGGGATTAAGGTTTGATTAAGGAAATACTCCCCAAGTGTTTTATTTTGTACGCAAGAATGGAAAACAGTTCTTTACAATATCTATCTGCACACAATGCTACTCCAAAAGAAATGGGTCTGACAGACATGTTTAACAATAGCAGCTCAATGTTCAGACAAACAGTTCACTTTCCCCCACCAAGCACAGGAGAAAGAAAATCACGTCTCATTTTTTTCTTTTTCTCAGTTTCTGGCACCAGTCAAATTATGTCTCAGTATCTCAATATCATGACTTATATTTTCAAGATTTTGACTTACTATGTCGAAATAATCATTAGTTTTCTTAAAATTTTATTGTTCCCAAAATAATTGCTCACTTTTTGTTGTTTAAGTGTCTTAATAAGAAGATAATAACAAGATCCCAGGATAAGTCAAAGTTTTGAGAAAATAAGCTAATATTTCTAGAAACTGTTTCAAGAAAATAAGTAATTATTTCAAGATACTAAATGTAAAATTATTTTAAAGGAAAATAAGTCATTATTTTGAGATGCCATGACCAAATGTCAAGAAAACAAGTCATTGTTACATCAGTTTGAGAAACATAAAAAAGTAATTATTTCTGTATACTAAATATTACTTAATGCTTCAGGAAACAAGTAATTAAAGATAAATCACCAGAAACAGAAAAAGGGGGAAATAGTCCTTTGTCTAGCAGAAATGGGCTTCCATACCATACCAGCCATTTATTTATTTATTTATTTATTTATTTAACCATACCAGCCTTTCTTTTTATTTATTTATTTTACCATACCGGGCTTTCTTTTATTATTATGCTTATGATTATGATTATGATTATTTACCATACCAGCCTTTCCCAGAGTCGTTCTGACAGAAGCTGGAGACATCGACAGTGCGCATGCGCGCTGCGCGTCCTGGCCTCTCCGCCTGTTTCTCCTTCAGTGTGTCCTCCTCTCTCAGAGCCGGAGTCCAGCCAGGAGCCTCGGAGCCCAGTAAACGGTAGGAGCCTGCGGAGCAGCAGCCCTGCTGGTCAGCCGTGCATGTGGAAAGATCGCGTTTGACTTCGAATTTAACATGCAGGCGTGCAGAGAGAGAGAGAAGGAGAGAGAGTCAGGGACGGACAGAGAGAGAGAGAGAGACAGGGAGCGAGGGAGCTCGCACTGAGGCCGCAGCTCTAACGGCTCTGTGGCACACTTAAACTCTGCACCCTCTGTTGTAAAAGGCCTTATTTTTTTAACCACGGTCGTGCTGTTGGAGCGCCTGTGCCTGTTCACCAGGCCTGTTTTGTGATATTATTGTTGCGGTTTTGCAGGAAAATCGGACGCTAGTATGAAGCAGAAGATTGGCGTATGGGCCTATACAGTGAAGCTTATCCCATAACTGCAGTCTAAAATTTGAACTCTTGTACATTTGAGGCTGTTTCCACAAAGACAGAGGCTGTAAGACTCCGAAACGGACGGGGGATGTTGAGAATATTGGTCAGTGTGCAGACACCGCTATCATTTTTTTCTGACGCACGTTGACTCTGATGTAACGGAGAGCAATTAAATAACCCCCCCCCCCGCCTCCCGCCCATTAGCCTCTTTTGTATGTGCAGAACTGACCGTTATTGCACTGCTGCGCTCGTGATAGTAATGGTAAATTGTAAAATGACACTTTCACTGCTGTAAGCGGGCATTTCTTTTATCAAGCAGGCTTAAACTGGGCGTAGTGTGAGCTCTGTGTGTTTGTGTGTGTCATGCGCAGTGCAGTGGGCTGTCACAGAAGGACACCAGGGCTTCTTTGTTGTATTGTTTGTGGAATATGTAGAACTGACCTGACATATGAAGTAGTGTCAAAAGCAGAAAAATGAGGCCCTGCTTATATTTACCCTGATAAATATAAGTACTTTATCAGGCTCCAGCCAATATGTGAATTTTGACAGTAAATGTTGCAGGTTAAAGATTCAGACGATGCTAATTTGTGTGATGCTCTTGCACCTACGATGAATTTTAAAATTAGCTTTATTTGTCTCCAATTCTTTGACTCTGTTCTGAAGGCATGCCATTTAAACAGAAGAGGTAAATACCGTAGTGGGCTTTGTTTATGTATTGTTTAAAATTGACCACTGTTATAGTGGTTTAAAACTGATAACAGAATTGGTCTTCCATAGCATGTCATACATATACAGCGAACCAGGTCATATTTCTCACCCAGCACAATAGAATTCTGCATAGTGAAAACAGGTAGCCGTAGTAGTCATCATGTTTGGAGACCTAGATTAGTAATACCTCCGTGGTTAGTGGTGGTAAGCTGTGTGTGCTATGTTAAGTTTGAGAGTTGATTAATAAGGTCTGTAGACCGTTTTTTATGTGTGTTTGATAGTAGAAGACGGCTTATAGTGCTAAATGAGAATGCTTTATGTCTGTCTAACCCTTAGCTAGCACTTTGACATTATCTCCCCTGTCACATACCACAGTGACACTACACTAAACAGACGTGTCGAATGATGTTAGACGTAAACTTTTCAGTTCATCTTAAGACCACTTAATACAAAGTACTGTTGTAGATGCAACAGATGCACCTTTACTTGTTTTTTTAACAGCCAGGCATTACTCAACAGTACCTGCTTCATCTAAGCACACTGCTTCCAGAGTCCAGCAGTTGTAGATACTGATGTGTCAGCAGCTGACATGCCTCATTCTCCCCCCTCCCTCTGTTTCTCTGCCTCTGTCAATCTCTCAGTCCAGCTCCTTTGCTCTCCTGAAGTCAGGATTTATTTTCTAGAGACAGCACTGATTAAATACAGAGTATCAGTATTGGGCCAAATACCAGCAAGAACATGTTGATGAGGAAAAAAAGAATGACTCCCATCTAATTTAAAAGCAGATCTAGCCAAAAATACCATAGATTTGCCTGTAATCCAGCTTTACATGAAGTGTGGTAAAGTGGGTCATGTGATTAGTTAGTAAGTCAGCAGTTAGTTAACTATGTATTATACTAGTATTACAATTCCTTTATTTTAAATAGCCTAATTTTACACACATTTGCTCAAATTAGATATTGCTCATTCAATTTTTTTTTTAATTATTTAACTGCACAAAGAAAATGTTGTGGTTTTGTATAAGTTAAGCTGCTAGCTTTGTATTTTTTTACCATAGGGAACTAGCATGGTTCAGCAATTTGAACCTGGTGCTTTCAGATGACCGTCTTAGGTGAAGTGCTTTAGTTTAAATAGCTTGATGTTAGTTTAGTATATTTGCTTGGTGGTGGTATTCAGTATTGGTATCAGAAAGAAAAGTGGTGTTGTGTCATCTCTTGTCAGCTGTGTTCTCTTCTGAAGAGACCCTAAGGGTTAATAATGGCTTGTCCTTAACATAAAGAATTATTTTTATAAGAGTTATAGGAACAGCCAAAGGGTTCACAAATGGACCCTGTCTTGATGGTTTTACTTCAGGACCAGATGCTATTTTCCACTCCTGTTTTCTCTTATTGGTGGCTCTCTGTCACATTTGCACTGAGATGTTGTTGTGTGTTTTTGGCATCAGAGGGGTTTCATATGTGGGAGGGGGAGGGGTGGCTAAGGATATCGATGTTTCTAGAGGTTGAGTTGAGGGCGGATCTTTATGAGGGGGATACGTGAATGGCAGAATTCAGGAAAGCATTTCCCGTTTTGTAAACCCTCCCTCCTGTCACATGGAGGACCAGTGTCAGTTTTACCCCCACTATTTATAGAATGTGCGTCTTGGGACATGGGAGTGCTGTGTGTGACACAAGCCTGAAAAGCCATGGTCTCCTGAAGGCTGAAGGTCAGCCCTTTGGACCAGACCCCTACCCATGGGCAGGTGTCAGTGAGGGGGTTGCCATGGTGATTCTGGGGGGAGGAGCAGAAGGCACTCCTCACTTTTCCCTAGGGTTCCATATGGCATCTGTTACCAGAAGTGTGCCACAAAGCAAGCCACAGATGTAATGTAGAGCTACGTCATGGAATTGACTGGGATGAAAAGTGGGTAAAGCAAGCAGGGGAAGAGGGAGCTATTCTGTGGGCCTTGCTCATGACTATAATCATGTGACACGATACTCCTAGTGGTCCTCTGAAAATAAGGTCTTTTACAAGGGTGGGCAATGTAGCAAAAGGATAACATCACTGTTCTTGAAGAGATTTTCTAGACATGTTTTATAGGCAGTATTTGTTTTTTTTAGGTTTACAAACAACATAAGAATAGCTTTAAGAACAGGTGAAATGTGCCAGCAAGATAGTAGTGCTGTATTAAAAAACAGCTGTTAAAAACATGAGAACAATTAAGAAATAACAGATATTCTCTTTTATTTGGTAAAAATAAATAAATAAAATAAGACATTGGTATAATGGGCTGATATCTAAATAGCTTTTCATTACTATACAATATGCACATACTATACACTGATTGCTGGGTACAGCTGACAGCTAATTGTATTATGTTAACTAGCAGACACTTGTGTTAGCATTTTCCTCAGTGTTGGGGGAGAGCCAGGACAATTATGCACTCTTGGACTTCTGGCCATGGATGGCTATGGCATCGCCAGGAATTACCTAGTCATTTCATGCGTCTTGAGTATCAGGATTATATCTGGATAGAGATTATCTACATAAAAATACAGGTGTAAATGCAAAAAGGACTTATTTAAATCATGTTTAAAACCGATTCCTTAAACCACTTCAGGGGAATATCTGAGACCCATTTTAGTCGGATGTTATGCCAGTGTAAATACCAGTAAAAACCTACTTAAAATGGAGTGCCAGTTTGGTTTATCTTGTTGTTATTCATCTTGCTACAAAACATTAAATTTTTTTAAACGCACATGGTCCCTGACTGCAACGACTGTTACAAGAGGCAAATTATTCTATTCAGTTATCTTGTAGACGTCATTGTGAAGCCAGTGTAAGGAAATGCATATCACAAACAAGAGACAACAAAGGCTGTTGTTGTATATAAGTTGATTTGCATATAATGGGCTATACAGAAATTGAATATAAATCCATCTAACCGGTGACGCATCTGATTACCAAATGCAAATGCATGTGAGTCACAATCCAACAAGTCACATGAAATGACCAGTTGTAAACCACATTTTTCTAACTGTGCCACTCTGGAGCCCTAAATCAGGTTTATATGCATCTTGTATATGTAAATAATCAATACCTGAATATAATTCTGATCCTAAAGATGCATGAAACAATCAGGTGTAGATACAATTTATAATTGTTAAATCTGTCTTTTTTATGACTCGCGCATTGGTTTAGAATTCCAAAAGTACTGATGCTACCCACAATACACACAAAAAATCAGGGCTGAAATGTAGTTTCATTGTCATAACAAAGCAGTTTCTGACACGTGCATGTGTGGCAGTAGACTGAACTTAACAGTATTGACAGTGTGAGTTGACAAGCAGCTGTTAAAATGGGCATGGCAAAATCTGTAATAACAGTATTATTATAAATAAAAATCGGTTAATGTATAAATAAAAACACACATACATATATCTTTCAAGCTTGATATGTTTTATTAGTGACAATGAACACAGCTTTTACCAAAAATAAAATCCTTAAAACGTGGAACTGTGTAAATATGAGGACCTATAAGCTAGTTAGATTAAATAGACTTAGTATATGTATTGGTTCTCTGTATCAGCCGATACTCAAGTATCAGGTATTGGTATCGGAAATGAAAAAGTGAGATTGGTGCATCCTTACAAAAAAAGCACATAATTTTTCATATCATATTGTTGTATTGCCCATCTCTGGTCTTTAATCTATATATATAGCATAACTGCTTAAAAAACATTTACCCAAGCAGTGCACAAGATAGAATGTAACAGTGGTAAGGTTCAAACAGGATGTCTGTCTTAATGGATTACAGACTCCACAAAACCTTATTAATATATAACCAGTCAGCTTGTTCATATCTAATGGTGTGCGTTTACCCGCTCCAACCCCCTTAAAGAACGATACCTGAGAAAAGAGCAAAGCAGGGTTTAAAGATGGACAGAGAGGAGGACAAGAAGAAAGGGAAGGAGACAGAGACACAGATGAAAGAGAGTAAGCCCTGCTCTCACTGCAAGACGAAGAAATGCGGTGAGTGAAGGAGAAGGGGAGTAGCTGAGAGACACTAATGTCATCAGAGCCACTAGATGTATAAGGAAGAGAAAATTTAACATGAGGAGAATTAAAAAGTATATTTAAAGCATAAAGTTTGTCAAATGAATATTCAGATATGGCTCTGATGTCATTGCAGTTATGCCCTGTATGAGTGCTTGTGTGAATAGTATCCAAGCTCAGTACAGTAGTATTTTGTGTATTGGCATGCTTATTAGTAGCACTTGCCCACCAGAGGCAAAGAGAAGTGGGATAGATCATAAAAGCTGGGCTGCCCAAACTATGCTGCTACATTTGGTGATTTTTGAAACCTTGGTTTGACCTTAGGGTCTGACCGATATTAAAGCGGAATTAAATTAAAAAAAGTGCATAATACAATTATTAAGATGCAAATAAAGTCATTCAGTTGTTTGATGTGAGAAAGAAAGGAATCTCAGTTTCACACAAAATGATTATGACTGTTTTTAGATGGCTGATACATTGTTTTAGGATTGGCTTGAAGGCAGGCTTTAGCCTAAAATTTATGTATTACAATACATTAACAGCAAAGTGGGACAGCCAGTGTTGTAAAGCAAAATAGTACCAAAAATTGCACCCAAAGAAAACTTATTTTTTCAGATTGACCACTATTTTACCATTATCGATGTTACATATAAAAACTCAGAAGAACCATGTAGTCCACTGGTGGTTTTGGATAGTTAATTATATGGTTGTGCACACCATTTCACAGTAAACTACTCTGAATGACGTTTACATCTCAAAGCTTGAATCGTGTTGAAATTTTGAAAAATTGAAATTCATGTTTGAGGTTCCACATATATTTTAGCATCATTGGACATCTTGCCGATAAGGCAACGTCTCTTTAAATGTTCTGTAAGAACTACATTCAGGAATGTAATGCTATTTTGAACGGTAACCACATACACTGATATATGCGGCAGGAGCTACTGTCTGGTAAACATTGTTTATGTTATTTACCTGTTTTAAAGTTAATAACAAGGTTATTTATAAATGTATTAATTTTTATTATTATTATTATTATAATTTTTATTATTGTTACTATTATAATTTAGACATTGAGCTTCCGCTGTTTGTTTGAGTTTTAAAAATTTTGCACAGTCATTTTGGACAAATTAGAGGTGGCGTATCAAATATGTGTGATGTCAGTAAAGCCCTTAACTTTTAAATCAGTAAACCAGTAAACCGTTTGCATCTTTGACCACACAAAATTGTATCAACTGCTATTATTGGTTATCGAAATTTTTAGATCCATAAAATTAGTGTCGTATTAATGACGAAAGTTTCATATTGTTGGTGCTTATTTCATACTGTAGTAGGTATGATAATAGACATAGAGGTCAAAGCGTTTGGCTGGGCCAAACCCCAGAATATGGAGCCCAATAGGTTCCTATTTTGATCCCAAGGAGGGAACTAGGAATGTTGATCAAGAAAGGTCAGCTCACTTGCTCAACTGTGGAAAGTACAGACAAATTGCACATAGGCTGTTGTGCTATTTTGAGGTTCCAGGTCAGACCACATTTCAACCCAAAATGTTTGGGCACTCCTGCTTTAAAGGTTTTGTTTTTTCTTTTCACTTGCAGTTTCAGTTGAACACCAAGCCATGGGATTGAGCAATAAATTCATTTAAACACTTGGCTATAGTTTAAAGATATGTGTGGGACTAATATAGTAGATGAAAGCATTGTTGTTCTTCCTGTAGCTTTAGCAAACCCTAACTCACTAAGGCTCAACACATCTGGGGTCTGAGTAGGTAAAACCTCTGAGTGTTGGTGCTTGCAGGGTGTCTGTAGTCCAGTTATTTATGTGTCCTGTCTCATTACCTCTTTCTCTCTTCAGGTAGCATGGCCGTCCCTCCTGCATACTCTGATCTTGGCAAATCTGCCAAAGATATCTTCAGCAAGGGCTATGGTGAGTGCCCACAGCCGCACAAACATACACATATCAATAAAGGCTGAAGCGAGTTGTCTTTGTCTATAAGTGAACTTGGCCAGAGTTTTAGATTTCCCTTTAAGTTAGTACAGGCAAGTTGCTGCTCTTTGTAACAGTAATACCCTGCTTACTCAGTAGGATCAGTGCTGCTTATCTAACTGATGAGATAAATGGGCTGGTTTATACAGCACTGGGTTATCTCTGTGGAAGAGCGCTGCTGATGAGGCCTGTGCTACATCTTTAAATGGAAGTTCTATAATCCAGGGTCTGAGTTTAGGCTTGTCATAATCAGTAAATTTTAGATGATGATTAAATGCCATATAAGTAATATAGATTATCAGTCCTTTTTGTTTTTGTTCACTGTATGTAGGTATTAATGAGCAAGCTTACAGAGGCCAAAATATCTGATTGACTGTCTTGCATTTTAGCTGTTGATGTTTAGTAGCTTCAGGCCATCCTACCCACCCAGAGAGCGAGGCCAGTTGTGCTCTCTAGGACTCCCGGCCACGGATGGCTGTAGCATCACCAGGGATCGGACTCGCGATCTCCTTATGATAGGGCCAATGCTTAAACAGTTGCGCCACTCGGGAGCCCATGAATGACTTTTAAAAATACATTTTAGATCACTTTATGCATCTTGAGCTTTAGGATTATATCTGGATAAGACAAAGCCACATAAATTGCAAATGTCAACGCACCCAAGACGCGTTTAAACAAACCTGATTGCTCAAACCACTTTAGGAGGTGGTGTGAGATGCATTTGAGCTGCACGTTACAGCAGTGTAAATGCATCCAAGACACCTTCGGCAACCATAACCCCTCCTCATGCAGTATGTCACTGGGTACGTGATAAATGTCTGAGAGGAAGATAATCATGGAGGATGCACATGGTTGGGCACAGGAAAAAGCAAAACGCTTAATAGCAATATGGACAGACACTACTGTGCAAAACAAACTGCAGATGACTTAATAAATAATTGGTAGCCGGTTGCCACGTAACGAGCAGATTTGCATATTCTGTCCTCCATAGCAATTGAATTACAGTTCGACTAATTAGAGACGCATGTTACTACCAAGTGTAAATGCATGTTGCTAAAGTCTTTTCAGGATACAATCCAGTTTCTAATCACATGAAGTGACCAGGTGTAAAAGTGGTCTAAGACTACAGAATTTAGTCTAAGAATTCAGACATCTGGATCATATCAACAATCAACTGTGAACAATTCTGATTCTAGAACACATTGAACATGTCAACAATTTAATTACGCAGAATGGGTGGAATTTCCCTTGTGATGTATGTTTGAGGCCCGCCAGAGCCTGTGTATCCTTTCTCATAACCTCACTGGGATTATAACATCCTGTGAACAAACACAACCAGCTGGCTTGTGGATATTGACTGTAACCATATCTTCGCAGCTTGTATATGAAGAATTTTATTCTCTTCCCTACTGTATAATTATGCAACATCCTTTTTCTCTTTCTATGTCCTTCAGCCTTTGGAACAGTTAAACTGGACCTCAAGACAAAGTCCCAGAGTGGAGTTGTGAGTCACTTTCTCTCCTACTCTCTTCCATTTTGTTCAATTTTTTTCATCAGATTTTGGTAAAGGGCAAATACTTGCTGCACTACCACGTGAGAAATGTTTTCCATTCATGCAGTGCTGTTCTAGACATATATTGAGTTTATTTTGAGGAGCATTCGATGACTCATCCACATTAGCTTGCGGCCTGGGCTGGGAGGGTGTAAGAATGTGTGTGAGTGTGTGTATGAGCACATGGTGTAGCCTGGCCTAACCACAGTTCTTGCCTATTCTTGTTTGCACCACTGCTTTCTCTCTGAATATCTGGATCAATATTATTCCCATGTTTTTCACTCTTTGATTGTGTGTGGGAGAAAGTGTGAATTTGAATCTGGTCATGTGTGTCTTTATGTACCTATTTCCACTAACCATCTCTGTTTCTCTCTGCCTTCCTCTCGCTTGCTTTTTCTTGGACTTGGTCAGATGGTAAGAGTGTGTTTGCTTACTGCTGTTTGTGTGTTTAAGCAAGGCCAAGTGTGAGAAAATTGTTTGTTTGTATAAAAGGATGTGTGGGTTGGTCTCTGAGGCCTTCTCTTCACAGTCTCCTGTTCTGTTGTCATCCAGCTGGCCCAGTACTGATCTGATGTTATTTTGGAGCTCAAGTGTTGTTATTAAAGGGTCGATTTTTTGTTCTGGCAGCATTAGAGCAATGCTTTTTGAGTTTAGTCTCCATTAGTCAACTCATTAATTCAGTGATTCCCAACGATGGTCCTGGAGACTAAAAACATGAAAATGTGCAGGGCAGGGTTGGCAGCCTATGCATTAGTTAATCAGTTGATGGTTAACTTTTACCATTAGTGCCCCTTAAGTTAAGAACAAATCTAAACAGTGGTGAACCGTAACTATTAGAATTAGACATTTGATTTAAGCCATAAATGTCCAAACTCGGTCAAAATTGAGAAAAAAACACTTCTACAATAATGCTAACTTCCATTTTTAGGCCATTCTAGATTAGACCTGGACATTCAAGCCTTGTAAAAGACATATTAACATATATTTTTTTGCCTTGAAGCAGTTTTACAGTGACTCCTTCAGTACAGAGATCTAGCATAGAGCTGCTGCTGCTGTTCTGTATTTCTAACATCTGACTGAAGTGTATTAGTTAGGCAAACACTTGCACTCCAGAAGGCCTAGAGTGACGTTTTTGTCACAAAATTGGTCCCACACATTGGCATCAAAACGTGACTGGTTGATTCCACTGTCAGTTCCTAATTATGTTAGTGTATAATCTGACACATTAGGCCTTCTGTTCAGTTTCTGAAGTCCAAACCAATCAAAGAGACAACTTTGATGTTCCAACCAAAAGTGATCAAACAAATAACAATATTACTACAGAAATAGCAGAGTTTAAATACAAATAACATTAGCATTATGTTAAATAAAAATGAACAAAAATTACATAATTTTTAGTTCATAGAAATCATCAAGCCTTTTCTGAAGGCCTAGAAGACCCTGAAGGTTCCTCACTGAGTTCAAAAGCTCTAACTACCACTACTCTGTTATCCATCTCCCTCCCGTTTTTATTGCTCATTTCAATACTGTTAACTGCCTAACCACAGAAATGTCAGAGCTCTAACCTTAAGAGACAGGCCAAGACTTGTTTACATGACATTGTGACTTTTCTTTTATGTTTTTCCCTTTCCTCTTTTCTTGCAACTCATTCTCTTTTCCTCTTTGTGATTTCTTGTTCTCTTCTCCCTTCTTTCTCTATGTCAAACTGGCCTTCGTTATTCCATAATCTTTCGTCATCTACCTCTCTGTCTCATGCATGTAGGAGTTCTCTACCGGCGGATCCAGTAACACAGACACAGGGAAAGCATCTGGTAATCTAGAGACTAAGTACAAAGTGAAGGAGCTGGGTCTGACCTTCAACCAGAAATGGAACACTGACAACACTCTGACTACTGAGGTCACCATGGAGGACCAGGTAAATGACTCGCAGTGATTATTACAACCCATCTCTAGCATGTGTAGAAATACTTACATTAGACATGGTGTGTGTTATTGTTTCTTGTCTCTGAGCAGCTGGCTAAGGGGCTGAAGCTGGGTCTGGACACGTCCTTTGTGCCCAACACTGGGTGAGCTGGCCTGTTTTTTTTTTTTATCAGTCTAATTAAATTATTACTAGAAATCCACTTTACCCTGTTTACCACTGATTATCTCTGTAACCTGTCTATGTATCTCAAACTGCACTACTGTACTAGAGATACATAACCAGTACAACACAATTCCCCACCCCAAACAAAATCGCAATCTTTCTCTCTCTCTCTCTTTCTCTCTCTCTCTCTCTCTTTCTTTCTCTTTCATCAGGAAGAAGAGTGCTAAGCTGAAGACAGGCTATAAGCGTGACTACATGAATGTGGGCTGTGATATAGATTTTGACCTAGCTGGGCCCACAGTGCACGCTGCAGCAGTGCTAGGCTACGAGGGCTGGCTGGCCGGCTACCAGATGGCCTTCGACACTGCCAAGTCCAAACTGGCTCAGAATAACTTCGCTCTGGGCTACAAGGCTGGTGATTTCCAGCTGCACACCAATGTGTGAGGAAATACACCATAGATCTTTCCAGATTTTAACCCTGACATCAGAAACCAGTCTAATTTTCAAATTGAACAACTCAACATTTTGGCAATTAGAATGTAGTTTTAGTTAATAAAACATCTACAAATCTAGGTCTCACTTTATTTGGGTAATCCCATATAGTCCTGTATAGATTGTCTACAGATGTTCAAGTTGTTAACTAACTCTCTGTTGAAACTCTACAATCTGTTGATTCTAAACAGTGGTGGGGTTAGGATTAGAATTTGGACCACGGCCACGGTTAGTGCTAGGACCAGGGTGAGGGTTGGGTTGAAGTTTTGGGTTGAAGTTAAATTTAGGGTTAGGATTAGAGCCAGGTTTAGAGTTAAAGAAAATTATGGCCAATTTAGTAGATATGTAGTTGAGTGTAACATGAACATTAAGTATCTACAAAGCATCTAAAGTGGACTATCCAAATAAAATGCTTCCAAAACCTAAAATTGGGTAAGACTCACAGAAGGTGATAATGTCTATACCTAATGTATATAATTGTGTATGTTGTTTGCTTTGCAGTAACGATGGCACAGAGTTTGGTGGCTCCATTTACCAGAAGGTGAATGACCAATTGGAAACGGCGGTGAATCTGGCCTGGACGGCTGGCAGCAACAACACACGCTTTGGCATTGCTGCTAAATACCAGCTGGACAAGGATGCTTCTATCTCTGTACGTCCTAAAAAACACTCTCAGTTGTCTTGCCAAATACTGCATTCATTCATTCTAAAACTTCCGTAACAGCATAGCCTTCAACCTTTAGCCCCCTCAAGACCATAAACACCTCTACCATGCGACGTCCTGAACTGCATATCAGTAATACTGCCACCCAGAACCTTATCTTTATAACCTTGTGGAAGAGCTCATTGGCTGTTAATGTAATTAGACCTATGCTCTTCTGCAGGCCAAAGTAAACAACGCCAGTCTGGTTGGAGTGGGATACACACAGGCTCTGCGGCCAGGTAAACACACTGTCATGCTATTGTGTATGCTTGTACATCAACTTGATAGGACTACTGTGACATCCATCCATCCATCATCTAAACCGCTTATCCTTCTGGGTCGCGGTGGGGTGCTGGAGCGTATCCCAGCTGTCATTGGGCAGAAGGCAGGATACACCCTGGACAGGTCGCCAGTCCATCGCAGGGTGGACAGACAGACATACACATTCACACACAGGGGCAATTGTAGCATGTCCAATTGGCCTGACTGCATGATTTTGGACCGTGGGAGGAAACCCACGCAGACACGGGGAGAACATGCAAACTCCACACAGAAACGACCCTGGCCGTGCGGCCGGGAATCGAACCCAGGCCATTCTTGCTGTGAGGCGACAGCGCTACCCACTGCGCCACCGTGCCGCCCTACTACTGAGACATGCATATTCAATTTAATTTTTCTTCGCTCAAATGATAATATGCACTATAAATCAAATACTTTTTTAGGCTATTAGTAATATTTGTATCATCATACTGACATTATTCTTTCCACTGTCCTATTAAGTGGAAGTTTTGCATATATTTTACAAAATTTCTGCACGATTAAGTCACTGAGATTGACTTCACAAATGGCACATTATAGAGAAACTCTATACTCTTAACTTTGATTTTTTGGTGGTGATAAGAATCAGGAATTATTTACTGATTATTTACTAATATTTACTAATTACTTACTATCTAAATAAGCAATGACCCTACACATGTTCTGAGTTTTTATATGTAAAGTCGATCATGGTAAAATGTGGAAAATCTGAAAAAATAAGTTTTCTTTAGGAACTATTTTGCCTTACAACATCCTGCATGTATTCCTCTGCCATAAATGTGTTTAAAAAATATGTTTTAGGCCAAAACCTGACTACAAAACCTTATTGGTAAACAACGTCTCAGGCATCAGGCAGCATATTTGTCACCATTTGATCTAATTGCTTTCTGTGAGGTAGATTTTAGAGCTTTTTAACAGTCACTGCTGCTGTGAACAGTTCTGACTTGCTAAGCTTCTGTAGAACAGCATTTCACATAAAACAACTCTGTATGACTTACATTTTTATGTATTTACATTTCAACAATTTAATTATGCAGCAAGTTTGACAAGATTGGTGGAATTATCCTTTTAAAAACACCCAATGATATTGCTACGAAAGACAACCACTGAAAGTAATGAAAAAACCACAATTTACAGTACATGTGTAATCAAATGTATTATTGTTCTATGAACATTATTTGTGATAAGCTTTATGATTAAAGCTTGACTGATGACTGATGTATCTGTCAATTCTGTGTCTCAGTTCATTCATTCCATTACATTATTCTCTCTCTCTCTGTCCCTGTAGGTGTGAAACTCACTCTTTCTGCTCTCATTGATGCAAAGAACTTCAACGCTGGTGGACACAAGGTGGGCATGGGCTTCGAGCTGGAGGTGTAAAGATGGAGAGAGCAGCAGCAAGAGGCACAGATGGAAACCGAGACATAACTGACCATATAACTCCCAATGCCTGCAAAAATACATGGACCCGTTCTCCACAACCAGTCATTTGCAAACTCATGTTTCAAATGCAACTTTAGGTCTTGCTCCTTTGCAACCTCCAGTCCCATAACAAACAGGATTGCCTGTCATGTGACCAGTGCTGTTCCGGGCTACACCACTCATCACACTGTCACCATAGCCACAGCACGTTCTGTAGACAGGGTCCACTCAAACGTCCCTTTTAATCTGTTCACGCTCTTCCTTAAGGTTCCTATGAGCACCTTTAGAACTGCGGTGGCTGTACTTTGTTTTTTTTCTTTCAGTGCACTGAGTTATTGAGACACAGAAGGTATTTGTTGTATGTGGTACACCTTTAGTGTCTGTTTTGATTGAAAGCTTCAGGCTGGTTTGCTCTTTCTGCAGTTTAAGCTCTGTGATTTAAGTCTGCAGATCTGATTTTCTTTTCTTAGGGACAAAAAGGTGGTCACACAAAGTTTACTGGCAGCATCAGACAAGAGCATGTCTGGTGTAAATCGTCATCTCCATGTTGTGTTGGGCAGAAAGTTAAAGAGAATAGAGAAGCCTCTGTAAATGTCAAATCCCTTTCCACTCGCGTTTGTAAAAATCACTTTGATTCTTTGTCATTTTCATTGCCAAACATATCATTTAATATTTAATCCTTTGATTTTCTTGTCTGTGTTTTGGTAGGAGTTAGCGACAAAGGGAGCATTTCCTCTTTGTGTTCTTGTCTTTTCTTCTTTCAAAACTCATACCTGTTTTATTCTGACTGTGCTGTGGTGGATGACTAAATTGAGAAACTGATATTGTGGAACCCAATAAAGTGGAATGATGGCTCAATTGAAAATGTATGTCTTCTCATTTTAATAATTGTTATTTCACCTATTGTTATAACATATAAAACTTGACACAGTCTGAAAGCGTTAAAAATATATTTATAGAATAAATTCAGAAAAAAAACTGTTTTGCATACTAAAAACATTACCATGTGCAAAACCAACACGTCAGTTCATTCACTGTGAGGATGACACAGTATTCACATTCATACATGCAGACAAAAGTAAACTGACCAAGTGGGATGTAAAGAGGAGAGAAAATTCTGTTGTTGCCTGCAATGTGTCAGTTTGTCCAGCAGGGGGCAGGAGAGCTCTGCAGACTACATACACTGGGTGTTCAATTCTGGGTCTGGAGGGTCTGTGTCCAACAGTTTGGTGATTTTTGTATATGTGTTTGAGCAGGAAAATAACCTATGCTGGGGACTGGCCCTCCAGGACCAGACATGAACAGCCCTGACGTACACTCTCCTTTCACTATACTCACATTCATATACGCAAAGGAGACTGGATGTAATATTAAACATCAGGAGAGATCCTGGCTTCCACTCAGCCAGGTCCATTCCTGCAGCATCTGAAAGAGGAAAACAGATAAAGTGAAGAATCTGACAGTCACAGATGGAAATGAGGGAACCTTGAAAATGAATACACATTCAGCTTTTACTATAGACTTGTGTATGTACAGCATGGTCAGAAACCACTCCTCATATATTTAATTTCCAGTTAAAATAGCTATTAAAGTACAAGTTACTTTTCAGGACATATTTCTGAGGAGATTAGATATACAATGATTCACATAAGAAAGGGGAAAGTAAAAGAAAACAAGTGAATAAACAGGAGTTTCTCAAATTGGAGTTTAAAAACATTATTAAAAGATATAGGGGAAATTGGGGCTCCTAATAACCGCACAAGACCTGGTAGACCAACAATAATGTCCCCTTCAGATAAACACTACTTAAAGCTTTCAACTTTCAGAGAGAGGAGAAAATCAAGCTCCACTCTTGCTTCAGATATGAAACAATCCACAGGTATTTCTGTCCATCCATCTACTATGAGAAGACAACTTAATGAGTCTGAAAGGATGTGTTGCTGTCAAGAAGCTGTTACTGAGAAAAGTAAGAGCCCAGAACTCAACATCACTGATTTTGTTAATGGATTATGAAAAGCTGAAAATGCAACGAAGTTCTAAGACTGAACTTCTGGAAAAGCACCCCTGTAGACTTCTTTTCACAGGCAAACAGTGAACACACTAAATACTTATAAAAATATATTTTGATAGAGACCTTTCTCTTTTATATATATGTGTGATCTGTTTTCTCCTTGAAGCTTAAAAATAATTGACTCTTAACTGGAAATTAAATAAATGAAGGGTGGTCTCTAACTTTTGCACAGTACAAAGTTTGTGTACCTCCATGCTGTTTTCTGTCTCCTGAATTGTTTCCTGTAGCAGACTCTGCAACCTGCTCTCAAATGTCTTGCTTTCTTCTATCACAACAAAGGACTCTTCCCTGCATACATATACAAACACACAAATACAAAAACAGTACAAATACACTCAGTGAGTAGCAAAGATGACATGGATCCAAAACTGGGTATCAGTTTCGGGCTGATATAGACAGTAAATGCTAGAATGGATATTAGAGGGGAATAAAGAATGAAACTGATCCAGTTCAATGATGCAATTTGATAATTAATTATATAGTTACATAATGAATTAGCCTACATTTACATTTGATTTACACCCTGTATCGACAGGTTCATCTTCGAACTACAGATGACATCAGTATTATAGGTATCTGGCCGATATAAGCAGCGTGTGGTGTACAGTACAGCAGTGTGCTGTTGTTAGCTGTGTATTTCTTCCTGTGGGGTAGTAGTTTGAGCATGATAGCCTACTTAGATGCTCATCTTATGTCAGGGGAGCTGGAGCTCACCTGACTCTACTTGTTAAAATCAGTTAAAGCAGTGAAGAGCTTCAAATAAACAGCTCAAAGCTTACTAGTTTTTACAGAAAAAATGTCAGATTGGTATCAGCCAACACTCAGGGCTTTAATATCATTATCAGTATCTCAAAACAAAAAATGGTACAGTCACCAGTTATGATTAGTTGATCTACTCTGTCCCTGTATTTAATAAGCTGCCCTGTCACACACAGGCAACTATAAGCTAGAGTGAAGGGACTGCCCAGTAGAGATACAAAATTAAACTTGGCAGGAGTGGGTTGTGCATTTTCTGATGAAAAAAATTTTAATTTTTGAGTAAACACATTTCTTTAACACAGTAATGGTAGAATCCTGTGTGTAGCACTGCAGCATGGACAGAAATTGACCAGTGCTGGGAGTCACATCGACTGGTGTGCATAATAGACATTCTGGCACCACTGGTGTGCTTGGAATAGAAGTCACCAGAAGTCACGCTGATAAACTGTAACTTACAGTGATAAAGTGGTCGTTGTTTTTCTTTCTTCTTCCTAAAGCTACTGGAAACTACACCTAGTCTGTACATACATACACAGTTTGTACTCACGGTTGGTGGAGAATAGGCAGACTAATAGGATGAGCAGGTCGATGCTGCAGCGGTGGCGGGCCGGTAGAGGGTGGGGTCCGTCCTCCGTCTGGACTTCCACTAACTGGACTCCGAACTTTACTCTGGAAACCACACACAGCTATCAATGCTTTGGAATTATTTGTATTTCTTTGGGAAGGCTTCTAAAATGTAATCTGATCTTCATTCGTCATAATAAATAAAGACTCACAACAGCACATGAAACATTTAACATCTTTAGCATGTTCAAACAATCAAGAACACTGCAGAAGCAACACATGAATCCTTACATTTAACAACTAGTTTACTAGCAATAATCTCAATCTACCATTTTTATAGGTGCCAATCAGACTTGCCCAGTTGTTGGCCCATTTCTCCTTTCCATTAATACTTCTGTCTATATTTATTATCTGAGATATATTGTTTAAACTGTCTGCTTCAGATCATTAGACTGAGGGAAGCAATCTGACATGGATAATCGAAAACATGGAATTTTTTCAGATGGATCCATCATGTTGTTGATTTACTTTTTTGCATCACATACTGCGTGACGGACAACTAAACATTCTGACATCTGATCCCTCAATGACTGCAATCTATCCATGCAGCAAAGCAGCTCATGGCATTATATTCCCTCTACCATGCTTCTAGTCTAAAGCCCTCCCAAAAGAGTAGAGATTGATGCTGCAGGAAAGAGGGGAAAAACCCCCTATCAATACCCTTTATTTCAGAAGAAGTGTTGACTAAGAAGGTGCCTACAAACTTTTTGGACATATAGTGTAGTTCAAGTAGTGCTGTAGAACAGGTTGTTAGCAAACCTGAAACATGTACAATGTATTTTTTAGAGAGCAATATTTTCCTCCAGACCTGACTGGAACACTGAACTCCAATTACCCTGTTTTCAAACAGGTCCTAAAGGTTCACATACTTTTCCATCAAAGATCTTTATTGTTTAAACCATTTATTCAATAAAGATACAGCACTGTAAAACGTGTTTGTCAAAACCATATTTGTTAACTATGACTTGGACAAAGATTAGGTTACACTTTAGGAGCCACTCATGCAGAAATCCATATAATTGTAAATGGCTCACAGCAGGAAAATATGTTGTGTACAAATATGCATTTGTATTGGTACACTTGAGATGACCAAATAAGTTTTTGATGATCTTCTCGTGCTCTTATTTTCCAGAATTATTTCTTTGTTAGCCACTTTGTCAAAGTTATCATTAAAACTTATGGTTAGGGTTATTTTGGTATCACTGGATTTAGCATAAGAGCTCACAAATACCGTAATATAACACTATGTTTGTGAGTGTGAGTGACTCACACAGGCCACTTTGAGCAGGTTCCACAGCTCCTTCTGTCTCTTCTCCTGCATACGGAGCAGGTCCTGTTCACACTGAGCCATACTGCTCACCACGCCCTCCACCCGTGGAAGCAACTCCATCACCCTCTGCCTGCACACCACCGTCTTACTGCAGGTACACACATATAAATGTAGACAACAGGTAATCAACATTTTAAAATTTCACAGAATGCAAAAGTAAGGCATGTCATTAAACATGTAAATTGCTCACACTGGTTATAATTACAAACACCAAGACATAAACACACAAACAAACCTGAGGTGTGTGTAGAACTCCCGAAGCTTCTTCTCATAGAACTGAATTGCCTGCACTACCAGCTTCACCACCTCTTGACAGTCGCCCAAACACCTTTGATCTGAACAGTTATATGGCATGGTCGGGGTGCTGAAACTGTTTAAGTTACGTTGTACATATACCGACAGGCCACTTCAATAAATACACCTCCTTATTTCTACACTAATCTATTTTATTACCTCCACTTAACATATTGATGCACTTTGTGGTTCTATAATTACAGACTATAGTCCATTTGTTTTTCTGCATACTTTGTAAATGCACCCTGTTCTTCAAGGGTCAGGACCCCCACAGGACCATGACAGAGCAGGTATTATTTGGGTGGTGGATCATTCTCAGCACTGCACTGACACTGACATAGTGGTGGCATATTAGTGTGTGTTGTGGTGGTACAAGCAGATCAGCACAGCAGTGCTGCTGGAGTTTTTAAACACTTCAGTGTCACTGCTGGACTGAGTATAGTCCATTAACACGAGACATCCAGCCAAAGACATAGTGTCCTCTGGGCAATGTCCTGTGACCACTGATGAAGAACTAGAGGATGACTAACACAACACTTCATGAGCTATTGTCTCCGACTTTATATCTACAAGGTGGACCAACAAGGTAGGTGAGTCTCATAGAGTGGACAATGAGAGGACACAGTGTTTAAAAACTCCAGCAGCACTGCTGTGTCTGATCCACTCATACCAGCATAACACACACTAACACACCACCACCACATCAGCGTGACTGCAGTGATAAGAATGATCCACCACCCAAATAATACTTGCTCCGTGGTGGTCCTGTGGGGGTTCTTA